TCAGTTGCAAAATACACACAATTGTTTATTATAATCACTATAATAGCTTCTCATGTCTAAGAGTATTTCCAGCCACAATTTAGCAAGAGTTAGAGACAAACAATACCTCTTGACCTTTAAAATTTTTTAGTGAATAATTTTTTTTTTGAATCGTTGTAAGATTTCTGTCGCTTTTCATTTGAATCTGCTTGCAACAAACCTCCACAGTGCAATTTTTCTCATTTAAAACAAAAGACAATTCCCCCTTCGTTTTCATAAATTTTGCATTCGAATATTCTAATTCCGAAAATAATATTTGAATATTGGATACTCGATCAAATATCCAGATATACAGCACAGCCCTATTTTGTGAAGTTGTACAAATTTTTAAAAGTAACTTCAGATTTCTGTGCATTTTACAATGAATCTGGCACAAGCGCCTCTCTTTTTTGCAAGGTAGAATTTGGATCATGGAGAAATTCTAAAAGTTCTAAATTTTATAAAAAGTTAATTCCGTAGAAACTGTACCTATTGACACCATCCTCACCGTCTTCCTTGAAATCAACCACAGCTCAGCCTTGATCTTTGCCAGCCCATTAAGCATGTACAAAAGCTTAGCCTTGAGCCCCTTGAACAAATAACAGTCTCTCATTCTCATCATAATCTTCATCAATAATGCAATCCACTCTCAACTCCAACTCCACACATCAGACGAGGATACAGGGTGAAAATATGGGCGGCCTCTTTGGCGCAACACATGCTGTACTCATCAACTTGAGGAGAAAAGTCACTCATCGGTGTTGTGAAATTTGAGAGCCGAGCATGATGATTCACGACTGCTGTGAGTACTTTGCAGATGATGCTTATAATCAGGGTGGCTTGTGGGAACTCAATAAGCAATGCTGAGAGATACCTCCCCCCCATAAAATTCTGATATATTACAATAAAATTGGCGGTCAAACGTTCAAACTTCAAGAGCTGACAAAGAAAGGTGGCCCTTTAAGTACAAGAAACTGAACTTAGCAAACCATACTCCCCAAAAGGATTAATTCATTAATAATATTTCAAGAATTTGTAAAATGTCATGTAGTTGAAATTAAAGATTACAACAGATTTGGTGTACGGTACCTTTTGGAGAAAATCTTTTACCAATGTGGCAGAAGTGGTCACAATTAGAGACAGAGAGGAAGACTAAATGAACAGGAATCAATCGCTGCGCATCTCAAACTCACCGGACACACAACTTTGGGATTAATGAAAAGGAGAGATGGGACCCAGCACAGCGGACCAAGTGACACGGGAAACACTCATTACACCGTATGCTCTCACTTATTGGTATCATATGAATGACAACGTTGAAACATTAGCCACAACCGTTCACCACGTGCTACACAGCCATTTCGGCTCCTGACAAAATTTGCTTGTAGCGTAGAGGAACGCCCTGCCAAATTTTGTCATCCGTTGTTGCTGTGCATCTTTTACAAATTACATCAGGAATATTCATGTGAGGATACACAGTGATAAGTCTCATCCAGCCTTGGAAATGTAATGAAATTGATGTACGTCCTGAAAATGCGCGCATTAGCATTTCTACTTAAACTACCCCATCTGCATACATTACATTTCATGAACAGAACCGGTATATGAAGCACGCAAGTTGATGCATACAAGTTCACATGTACATGTACAGTCTCTGCCCCGTACTGAACCAGGAAATCACATTTTTGACAGTGTTTTTCCAATACCCAAATCAGACTACACTAAAGCGTACTGCATGTACTAGCATGTCAAAACCTTTTCCTCCCTATATATAATGCCAATGCGATGCACCAGTATAATCTGTTTCCAATGATGGATAACTTCCACAGATCAGAAGCCACACTCCCCTGACATATTGAAGCAACTCCCCCCTCAGGCCATAGTGTTAGCTCCTGCTGGATGGATGTGTTAATGGACGGTGAATGATAGGGCCTGAACTTGGGGTGTGCACTTAGCGAACCGTTCTGTTTGACCCACAGAAAAAGTCAAGATGACCCCACATGCTATCTGTCTTGTCTGTGGGGTCCAACATGGCATGGATTGGGTCATCAGTCATGCATGACTGAATCATATAATGCACAATTTTTTCCAAATGCATGCAGACAAATTATATGTACAAGAAAACACACCCACCCAAGAACCATACAATACAATTTACAAAAGCAGCACATGCAATTGAATTCCCACTTGCTGTATTCATCAACGTGGAGTGACACTGAAATACCTGCAAATAGGTTCTCGCCGTTGAGGTATGCCACAGTAAATTGACCTAAGAGGACTCCTGTGAACTTGGCAGTGGTCAGTTGTTACTTAGCAACAAATGAAACTCTATACCATGATCCCCTTGTGCTTACAAGTGCTGCAGCCGAGTTTTTCAGTGTAGTTGTTACCTATTGATAGGTACCTGCGAGTACCTAATGGGAAGTTTAGAAACAGGCTAAAAGTAAAAACTGCTTCCGAACATCAAAGATTATCACCTAGCCCCATGAAGCTTACCAAAAGAGATAACAACACCAATGGCTTGTTAAAGGAACAAATCTTATTTCTGTTGAACATTTCTCACTGAGAACACCCTATTTCTAACACAACATTCAGCGGGCAGCAGTTACGCTTCTGAAATGGATACTGTATAGACATCTGTGCATCTCCCCACTTCAACACACACCAACCGGTATCTCATATGCACCCTCTTGCATAAATATTTTTCTCGGGTCTCCAGGGATTGTAATCGACAAACTGCTACCAATCCGAAATTTTTACGAGTTTGATCATGTTCAGGAGTGCATTAAACCCCCACAGAGGTAGTGCGCATAGATCGAGGATGAATCACCAGTTTATGTTTCAACAATAACATCAACATGTAACCTTCAAATTAATAAACAATGCAGGAGTCGGCCAGCCGTCGGCGAGTCTTGATCCATAACATTTCAGGCGACCATGTCGCGCCGCTTGTTGGAAATGATGTCATTTTCTTTGTCTGCAAATTTCATTATTCACAAGGTCTCATCCATTTACCATTTTTTTAAAAGTCTATCGAGGTAAATTTTTTCTTGCACTACAGCAGACGAGTATTCCAAGGCATACTGAGCCACTGCTGCACAATTCTGAACATTTACAACCTTTGGCTACAATCCTGAGCAATGGGTGAGAAGAAAATTTAATATAATTTTTCGCAAAACATAACATAGCATCCGGCTATTAAATAGCTTCGGCTAAAATACATGTACATGTGTACCTTAACACCCACCAGCTGGACCCTGAGTAACCTGCACTGGCACATTTCAAACAAAATCAAACTTTAATATTGTTTCAATATTAAAATATTCATAGTGTTTGGCACCTTGACTACTCCATCCATCATTTAGCATGACAGTAAAAGTACTTCATCCAGAAATTCAGTAATCATTAGCCCCTGTGTACTCGCCTGGGAAAACACAAAAGGGCGTTCACACCAGGAAGGTGGGAACACGACCAGCTTTGCTTGTTCATCGTTAGATCTTGTTTTAGGTTCTTACCTTTGAGAGCAACCTTTCAACTGATTGTTTTAAGATGCTATGACATCATGACTGTACAGAATTGTCATATCTGTACATTGAGTACAGACAATCAGTCATGTGATATTTGACGATCAGCATTAAATATACACAGATATGCACAGAAACATGCGTGCCTTCAAAGTCTCTCAACATTCAGCTGTACATGAAATTGCCAATAGAAACACCCAGACTGGAATGCATGCGCCTCCACTGACATGGTAATGCTTCCTGAAATACTTTTTCAAGTTTTGAGTTTGCAAGGCATTGGCCAATCACAATGCGCGAAATCTGTCGACCCAATGCACGTTTGGAAATGGTCGACAAATTTTGTGTGTTGTAATTGGCCAACGCATTGCAAACTCCTCTTAAAGGGGCACTAGGTGAATTGATTCAAAGGTGAATCGCCCGTATTAAATAAGTCTTGATTATTCTATTAAATGTGCCTTTTTGTAAAAAAAAAACATTAAACCTAGTTTCTGCAAATTTTGAAAATGTGAATTGTCATCAATGAAACCACACCAAACCAAGGAGACAGTTGTGAGATGACAGAGAGTCCCCAATTTTTCAAGGGCCTAGGCTAGGCTAAGGGTCTAAAAATCCACTGAACTGCTAGTACATGAAGTAGGCCTAATTGGAAAGAGAATGATGCAAAACATTACATTTTTTTATTTCATCAAGTGCAAGTAGGTTCAGCCAACAACATTTTTTCCATACACGGACATGACTTGACACTCTTTGCACAAACCCTTAGTATAGTATTATGAGACTGGTCTGAAAACTGAATTTTCTGAAATGTCCACGTATATATAGGCCTTGCCCTTGGCCTAAATCATGCTTTGATATTTTTGCTGCTGAAATTGACTCTTTAGGGTGTTATCACTTTCTCATGGCTGATATACCAATGGAAGGAAAATCTGGTGATGTCCGTATATTGAAACTCTACAAATAATACTACAGGCTGTGGTACAGGGTAGTACCGGTGTGTTTCTGATTCCAAACGTGCACGGCCTGCCAACTTCCCGGAAGTGCGCACAGGCCATGCACAAAATGGCAATGGACACATATACGGCCGTCGCGCATCGGACGCATTGTTTTGTCGACATGACACTACATTCCACAAACCTGTATTTTTCCCACAAAAAACGCGGCTGCTAACGGCAAACTGTAGATATCGGGAAATCCGAAAATTTCGCAAAGACTGAGAGCGGACTGTGAGGTCACGGCGGCCAAATTTCTTGCTGTGGCGGACAGCCACGATTCGTGCAATGTCCATGCGTAGGCCCTATTCACGAGTCTGGAGAGATATTCACAGCCACTTCTTCCAGATTTGCAAACGTCAAAAAAATCCACTCTTCAACAACTGACGGCCTCTAGAAATTCTCCACGAGAAGGCAGTAATACGGTCTAACAGCTTTTTGCAACGACTCGAGGAAACTTCACACTTACCTGTTAGAAATTCGGCATACTACGGGGATAAATTCCTGTCACACGCAGCATCTCAGACGGACACAAGCAGCAGCGCGCCAAACGCAAACCCAACAACACACTACATACATTAAAACTGTACGCTACATACACACTGAAAAATGCTATGTGAAAACCGCAAGTTTTTACAGGTGAAGTTTGGCGCATGCGTGGAACAACTTTCAACTCGGTGACTTTTTATTCAAGAATTTTTAAGGGGGGGGGTTCTCTGAAATTACTGACGGAAATAACAGGATTAGGAGCCGACCACAATAATTATGATTCTATTGGGATTTTTTTATTTCTCCCATGTCCACTGTTGCGGTTGCATTAACAAATTTGAAAAAGGCAAAACAGTTTGTCCTGGTCAACTGAGACCATTCAACACTATTTCCAAAACTCCAACAAGTGAATAAAATAAATCTGATTCTAGAATCATCGGGTGATTTGATTATTTGTCACATTCCAGTTTTTTTTTTCATTGTAAAATGATTTCAATAAGTACACTCTGTCGTCACGTGTAGTTACAACTTTTTTACAATCAGGATTGTAGTTTTTGAAGGTCTCTTTCGAGGTCCCCAAATGAAACATGTCCCTCCGAGGATAAATCCCAAAACGCTTCCCCGCAGTGCATCATTGTCTCAGTCACCTTGCCCTGCAATGATCCTTTGAAGACCTTTGGGCACGCATAAAACATCCAAAGACGTCAAGCACCTTGGTTTTTATTTGATGGTAATGATGGAGAGCGCCCTCAGTAACTTTCGCACCTTTCTCATCCACCGACCCGGACGCCTAGAAATGATCTCGCAACGTGCGTATTCAATTCAGGACTGGTGTTTTTTAAATCGATCTTTTGACACGTACACAACAAAGGCACCGAATAATTCAGACAGCAGAAAGAAAAAGTAACTGAACATGAATAATGATTTTAATCCAGTAAGAGTAAACATAAAACGTGTAAATGAGAGATTGCAAACGGGCAGTTAATTAATACAAGGGACTGGGTAATGGTTATACCTTTCCCCGTATAGTGTTGGGCAAAAATTGACGGCAGACTTGTTTGACACACTCTACGAGCTTATTTCGCCAGAGTAGTGGCAGGTGTTTTTCTTTACAAGCTGCCCGTCCAATTTCTTCCCGTCAGTTCAATGAGCTCAATCTAGCAAGTGAGGTGGACACAAGTCAATTTCAACAGTTTATGGACGTGAATAAAGAATTCATGAGTGGCCGCCCTAAACACCACTGAGCATTTGAAAGAACAATCCTTTTGAAAGCTAAGTGCAACACAGAATTTTATGAAAACAGTGGGAGAAATGATATGATCGAAGGGTGAAGATTCAGAAATCTAGCCCCTTCGCATAACCAGTTTGCCATCTTCAGCAGATTGAGGCAGGCACATTGGACCAAGGCTGCGTTTTTTACCATCAATGTGCACGTGTTTAATTGCCTCAACTCCTTTCTGCTTATCAACTTTGCTAAGCTGTTCCGAGAATTCCAAACGTAACCACGCACCCGTAATACAAATGTGGCCACGAGGAAATCTACCACACGGTCGAACCTTCCGTAAAAAAAAATCACCCGGACAACAGTGGCAAGAAAACTGTCCAAACCCGTTTTGACAATAAAATTCCTGTGTCCGTTCAGATTTTTTTTCAGCACAAAAGTCTGAATTCCCGTCCAATTCTCCCTGATCGGTATTAGCATTTTGGCATTGAAATTTTTTCACACCAAAGAAAAGGGAGGAAGTTTAAATACCCCCCCCCCAAAAAAAAACCTTTAGTGGATTATGAGCACTGTTGCTTAACTTAGCATTAAGCTGTACTAAAGCTCGCCAAATTCAACATCTGATCGTTCAAACACCACTTGCAGATACAAGCTTACAGAGCCCAGCTTTCAGCTGCGATAGTTCACAAATATCGTAAGGTAAACATTTCTTCGGGCCCTGTCAACTCCCAATTTCTTCATAACAAACACTCCAATTTTGTCAGACACATTGCTAGATTGAACCAATGTTAACTTGTAAATACACGTCAAGTTCAATATGGTTCCATGCCATGCTATTATCAGATAAAGTCCTAAAAAAGCTTATTTAACAGAAACCAATAATGAAAAGGAAAAAAATGCAGTTAAATCACAAAGATGTACGATGCAAAGTATACACTTTTTGTAAACTTCAGAAAGTCTCGAAATCAGCATTAATTTAACAACCAATGAATTTCATTGCTAGCTAAGTTAAACTTTGTAACAGGAACCGTTTTCTTTTATAATTTGTAAATACTGTTTTATAAAGCAAAGAGATGCCTCGGCAAGGGCAGCTTCCTGAGAGCTAGTTCATGAAAGCTGGCGGAATTTGCCTCGCTGCAGTTTGCCGTTTAGGCCAGTCCAAAGGCTACTTAAAAAATTCTAACAACTCTTCTCTGTGGCGTATACATTGACACTAAATCTATCAAATTGTAATTTGTTAGTAACAAGTGATGTGAACAAATAGAGACTGTCACAGTTGGTAAACAAGTGCAACGTTATTAATAATCTGATTTAACTCTTCCAACTAGTTTGAAACACAACGTTAAGGCTCGATGAGGCCTTGATTTTTTTGTTGTTTTTTGTTTTTTTTTCTTCTCTGGATCTTACCATCAACACAAAACGTTCAACGTTTGACTCCAGTGTAAAATTACAACTACATTTAGGGTATGTCTCTCCCAAGTGTGCGACTTGGGGGTAAACGCATCCCTCAACACCTACTTTAAGATTACATTCTTTTTGTGGTATGACTATATTAAAGCAACAACTAACTTCTTTTAACAAATTAAAGCCCGTTTGCGTCAAAATACTTTTTTTAAAAACCCAAACATTGAAGGAAAACGAGTACACATCTAGCAATTGAAACAGATGCTAAAAGAAATGTTCGGGTGGCTTCAGTCCCGTCTGAAGCGCCAAGTGCATGTTATTTTAGCATTCGTTTCCGACTTTCTCTGAAAAAAAGGTTTAATAACATGGCATGTAACCATTACAAATTGCCATCACAGCGAGTCAGAGGTCCTTGCCATGCTGAATCGAAGAGTCACCAAAAACAGTAAGCTGTCCCAATGAGCCACAAACTTCTACACGTTTGGTTTAAATTTGTTCTCCCAATACTGACCGGCCACTTTTCCTCAGAGCACAGAACTGTTCGTTATTTTTGACCCATGCTTAAACTTCCATTTAGAGGCAGGTACTTGACTTTTTTGTAATGTCAAGGTTGGGCTTGGAAACCAGACTACCATCTTTCCCAAAGTCTTTTGAGAAAAAATTAAAAGACTGCGTGTGCCTGGATTACGGTTCAGGTTCCCATGGGAAAGGAGTGAAAATCGCCATGCATTCTGGCCCAAGCCGTCAAAAGATTGTTTTTTTCTCTGCAATCTTTCGATTGCAAAAAGTTTCATCACTATGGTGATGAGATCAGCTCACTCTGAAGAGTGCAGCTTCCTTTTACACAAAAAAAGTAAAAAAAAAAAAATAAAAAAAAAAAAAAAGATGACAGTAACTGTGTTGTCTTCAAGTCCGATCTGCTTGTTTTTTTGTTGCCTCTTTAAATCTTGTTCCAAGAAGCTTCTTTCCAAACAAAGTCTCCAAGAAAAAAAAAAAGAATCACCCCACAGCCTGGATCCTTCTTTTCCCACCAAAATGTAATGGTGGGTGTTTCAAAAAAGCAATTCACCACCGTCACAAGAAACCAGTGTGGTTTCACTCTGAAATCGTTATCTATGAAAAGTTTGTACTGCTCTCTCTCCTTCTCTCAACTCAAGCAAATCAGCTGGCTAAGTTGTCAAACGACCGGGGTGGTCCAGTCCTCCTCCAAGAGGACAGCGCACAGACCTGCTTAGGGAGAGTTTTTTGCTTTGGTTGTACCCCCAGGGTCAATCATTCAGAAGAGATCTCTTCCCAAAATGGAGTCGGTTGGCAAGATTGAAACTGTCATCCATCCCTAACGAACAACCGATGAGAGGAGCCAACGTTTCCGGTTGAGAATTGTACCAGAATCTCTTCGACTTGGTTGCTCGGGGGGTACGGTGCAAAAGAGAAAAAAAGAGGCTGGCTTTTTTTTACGGCCTGGTTTGTTAACACGATACGGCACTGGAAAAAAGGGACTACTTTGTGTCATTTGAATGTTGTTTTGTTTTGTCTCGATGTAGTCCACCATTCCGAAGGAAACGGGAGTTAAACGTTCTGCACTTAAGTAACACAAATAATACTCTTAAATACGAGTTGGGTGATAAAACCGTTAATATACTTACAATCTACGAGTATACGATATGTTGTTGCAAGGAGGAAGGGCAGAGGGACCATTATTTAACACGTTACTGTTGATCGCCATGGTAACTTGCTACTCCTACCCAGTATCATTCTAAAACGATGCTTCAGTTCCACCACTGAAACTCATCTTTCATGTTACTCAACAAGCAAGTAGGCAACTGGAACTCCCACAATCAGAGTAGTTCTCAAGAAGTGATGGACCCTGTTTATGACACCCCACATCAAAAGCTGCCTCTTACAGTGAGCAAACAAAAACTTGCTCGATTTGGGGTCTGTCCATCACAGCATTTATACTATATTGCCAAGTAAACCATTTGTTGACCCATTTCAATGATCCAAAATCTTGGTGAGGATTTTTCATTTCTGTTTTGTTTCTCTTGGTTGGATTTCTTAATCAGGTCTGAGGTTTCTTTTTTTAACATGACGTTAAAAATGTAGATTACTCCAATGCGATAGCGGTAGTGTTGCAAAGAAAGTCGGATCAATCCAACATCTTTTTGCATTTTTTTTTCCTACGCCAAGTATGTGTCTCATCTTTGAAATTTTTCCCCGACATTGGAAAAACGTATCGATTACAGACTTTGGACAAGAGGTAGCACTGGATGAAATCTCCATTTTTTTGTAATTTTTTTTATGTTTTTTTTTATCAAAAAGTAAAAAATAAAGTAACAAATATGGCCATAATATACAATTCTCTCCAGAAAATAATGGCCCATATTGTTTTAAACTAAATTTCTCTTTATAATATATATTTGTCTTTTTTTATTTTAACATTTTACTATTTTTTTCACATTTTTCATTTTACTGTTTTTTTTTTCATTTTTTTCCATTAATATTCTCCCATAAATTGTTCCGGAATGCCATTTTTTCAATGCCTCTTATTATTTTAATAGCCATTCAACTTTTCATCATAACTTCAGCCAAAATTATCCATCATTCCCTCTCATATAAAAAAAAAAGAAAAATTAAAAACTGGCACTATCACTGTGCAAGTTGATTCCTTGATCATTCACGCCTAACAACCGCGACCTGGTCGCACAACTTGCAAGATCTGATCGTCGTAACTTTTGCCAACTGGATGGTCGAGCTGGGTGCCAGATATTTCATTCAGTTTACGGTTCTAAAGGGTGGCTACCCAACGAGGTCCCATTTTGCGGCCTTCTCAGGGCAGGCGTGAAAAGTCAGGAATTTCGGAGGGGAATAAAAACAAGCAGAAGAACCAACTCAACGGTCCCATCAATAAGAAACCCCCCCCAAAAGAGTGCGAATCGCCCTTTGCCGACACCCCAAGTGTTGCGATCTGCACCTTTCTGGGGGTTAAATTTGGCCCTTTCTTCTTTGGACGTTTCCAAATGTCAAAGAGCCGCGCCTGACAATTTGGCCTTAAATTGTCGGTGGTATTCAATCGTTTCTCAATTCATCTTGCACCTTGGAGCTACCCCATCCTGGGTCTTCTCCAATATGAATCAACTCCCGTTGTGGTCAACCACAACCCCAATACTTATGAAAGAAGTCCATTATCAGCAACCTTTGTTTAGCGTTTTGGAACGCCCCCCTAAAAATTTTCTCTTTTAAATCCCAGCTTTTCTGGGCTTTGAAATTATCTTGAAAAGAATGCTCGAACACATGGCGAAAAAAGGAAAAGAGCAAACCATCCAACTCACAGTGTAAGCATTCTTTTCAAGATGGCGAGTGAGGTTAAATCCAAGAGTAAACCCGCCGAAGATCATGTTCCAGAGAGGAGATGGGATGGGGGGGGGGAACACGGTTGGGGGTGGGGGACAGGGTCCTCTTACTGCGGGATGCCGGGCACTGGGCCATTCATGCGGCCGCGACGCTGGTAGCCGGAGTAGTAGCCAGCGTTGTAGGAATACTGATTCTGGTTCTGGTTGCCACGGTTCATGAAATCAAAGATCATCTTGCGGAGGCGACGCTGGGCGGCCTGCCGAGGACAGAAAAAACAAATGGAATGGTCAAAGATGAATCTGTTAGTGCACTAAAAATGTCCGCACTGATCCTGAAACTAGACAACCTATCACATTGCTTTTCCACACTAACTGTATTTATTTAACTCGTCAAAAATTTAGATGGTTTACGGTTTAATTTACGAAGGCTCGAGCCAAAATCAAGCAGGCACCGCTGAAGCACTGCTGCCTATAAAATTTTATTTCTATAGCCGAGATCTTCAATTTGCCACGAGAAAAGACATACACGTACAGAAGCAGAGGAGAACCCTTAGTGATTCTGAGCGGGGGGTCTTAAGGTCAGAGCCCGTTAAATGAACACTTGCGGATCAATGCTTACCTGCAGGGAAAAGAAGTTTCCGTACATCTTGACCATGACCTCGGTGTCATCATCGGCGGCCTGGTCGCCCTCTTCGTCCTCCTTGTTTGCACGGGGGACCTCGATGCGGGCAAATGTCGTGCGTTGCATTTCACGCACCTGAAAGAAAAAAATATCCAATCCCTTGCACAATCGTCTTATTCAAAGCAACATCCAAAAACATTTCAAAGTTTCAATGGAACAGTTAACTGCCTGAATGTAATTTTCTAAGTGCAAATGTCTATTTGCTTCACGGAGAGTGAATAAATACAGTGTTGTCTTGGTGAGAGTTCTAGTGGTGTGGTGATTGATGCAACAGCTCCGTGCTACAACCACACTGCCTTTCATTACAACAAACCGACTACCAACTGGACTGGTTCAGGGGATAAACCAACATCTGGACACCAACGCTCACATGTGACACGGCTTCTAACGAACCGCGGTCTGAGCACATCACAAAACCTCTCTACAAGTCTTTTTAATTAACTCCCTCTCAAAGCATTCTTTCCTAGAACCTACCTGAATCCTATGAAATCCTCTGCTGGAAACCATGCCACTTTCTTTCGAGGGGCATCAAGCCCCGTGTTTGGCAACAGTGGTGGGGCTCCATCTCCCTTGACCCTCCTCTGATCGTAACACAGACGGCCAAAATCCTATTCACTTTTCCCTGCTTTACCTTGTACATTGGCTAGTCAACGACAGCCAGATTGCAATTCTGACTGGCACTGTGACTAGTCAGCAGGCGAGTGGTAGACACAGCTCACCTCTCGACAGCCCTAGTCAGCTATTTCTGCCTCACGTAGGCTGGGGACTCTAAACTGTTTAAAAACAATCCCCTCGCTAATTTTGACAGAGAGGCCAGCTTTGTCCAGAACGGATTTCGGCAGAGGAGGGTTCATCCTGCAAAATCCCAACAACCACCTGGCTGATTTTGAAGCATCTGCAATGGGGCTCAGGTTTAGGTCAGACACTCACCTTGGTGCCCTTCTTGCCAATGATACGGCCCACCAGCTTGGACGGCACGCCAATCTCGCAGCGCAGGTGGTCTTCCTTGGTCTCAAAGTGGCCCTGGCCGCAGACCTTCTCAAAGAGGCGCAGCTGGGCCTTCCACTGGGACTCGGGCGAGCCGATGATGGTCACCTTGCGCTCGGTTGACCCCTCGTTCTCCCGCGAGGCAATCTGCAACGACAACGCAAGTTGGGAAGGCAAGGTCTTCAGACCAAAGAAGCGTTGGAAGGATGAGAGCTGCCATTTTTTTTTTTTCTCTCTCTACACACAAACCAAACCCACACAAACACCGTTAGTTCTATCTACAACCAGGAAAGCAGTCCAGGTGTCAGTCTAGTTTCAAGTCCTGACAGTCAAACAAGGCTGGGGTTAATTCTTGAAAGATGCAGTGTCCAAGCTCATAATAAATTTACCTGAAACCATCAACATGTTTTGTTTCTACCAACCTCTCCTTACATGCCAGTGGTTTCTAACACACAATTTCATCAGGGTCACGACAATGCCAAAGAACAGAAACCTTTTACGTGTCATCGAGGTCAGACATAACTGACTATATCTTGCTGTAAATGAGCGAGCTATGGGTTAAATCACATTTGCGGCTCAAGAAGTTGTCATTGGCATTCTTTTTTTGTCTCTACTCTCGAGGAGAACTAAGATTTTTCAGCTGAGCATGGACAAAGCAGCTTTGGGGTTCGTCAGCATTCACGGCGCAAGTCTCTACACGTGTCAAGTCCCAAAATCGAAAGGAGGGCCGACGACGTTCACTTTGCACACACGGTATTTACCTGGTCCTCTGCCGGAGCAATCTGAAATGATTGGGAAAGGGGAAAATCAGTGCGCGTTAACCTGTGACTCCACTTGGAGACTGTAAGGGTTACCAGCTTTTGCACAGAAGACAGCTTGGAGAAGGAAACTATTTCACTTGGTGCTGGGGCACTTTACAAGCGGTCACCCCTTTTCGCTTAATAGTTAGCCAGCAAGTCTTCAATACGGCAAATGCTGAGATTGGTCTTAAGAAATCAATACGAGCCATTCACAATAGTGCGACCTCCAAGAGCTTGCAACACATTGGCCAATCACAGCGCGCGAAATTGTCGACCCTTTCCAAACGTGCACTGGGTCGACAGATTTTTTCACTATTGTGAATCGCCCGTATTCCTACAACAAATCACAAACCTGAAGTTCTCCACTAACACAAAAAGAACAGCGTCCAGCAAGTAGGACGTTTCGGGTCAATTTTTCAGTTATCAAACTCTACCTGTTTCAACTACATGCACTTGTAAGATATGGGCGAAATTTACTTTGTCAAGCCAAAGTAATTTCCTGGTCAAACTATGAAACGTCAGACTGCAGCATCCCTGAAATGCCTGATCTTTTGTGCAAACAACTCGGCCCAACAAATCGGCCCGAGTACAATTTAAGCACAGCTTGGGGAGGGGGGGACCGAGTGCATGCTACAAGCGCAGGAAGGAATATGGTTCAACATTGCCACTCACTCGGATGGAGGCGTTGGCTGTCTGGCACATTGACTTGATGATGTCACCCTTGACACCAATGATGGCGCCCACAGACTCGTTGGGCACATAAAGGTAGGTAGTCTCACTTGCCTGGGTTTGACACAAGGGGGGAAAAAACGGCTGAAACAATGTGGCAGTCTGACTGATACAAGTGTATTCACAGAATTGACCATCAAAATGACCGATTAGATCAATGGTGGATTCGCATGGCGGTACTTACATCCCTAGGGTAGTCTTGAGAGCGAACATCCCGGTAACCACGAGGATTGGGATAGTACAACCCAGGCAAAGGTCCCTGTTACAATAAGATACATCATAGATATGCATAAAAATTTGAAGAGATGCTGAAGACGAAAAAAGAACGAAAAGTGCATTACAATTATGCTGTTCTTATCAAGCAAGACTCGACCTGAATACATTTGCTTTGTTTCAGTTATTGACCCTAACAGCCCTCAATTCCTTTACCAGGTGATAGATTTGGGACTGTTTGGATTAAATGGGAGATATGGTATCAAAGTTTCCATTTCCAAACACCTTCGAACACTTCGGAACTCCTCATTCGACAGTAAATAACAGCAGAGTTATGCCTGGGCCAAATTATGCAACTCAGACGTTGACCAAAAAACGAGGAAATTCCAATGTTTATAAGACTTTGTGCAGTGTTTTGGATGGCAGGAGTTTAAAGTGAAAAACGAGGAAATCGGCTGATCCGAGGAAGACTTGTATGCCTGCAACTGGCATGTCTACACCACGAATCTCTTCGACACCTCAGCTCTGCAGGAACCAATTTCATGGAGCCACTGAGCAGACAAATGTGCTATGCACAGGACACCTGCTTCGCAAACACAGGCTATCGACTAGAATGTCATTTGGTGCACACTGTCTGCAACTGGTTCCCTGTTGTATTTTGCTTAGCACGTAGAGCTGCTGACCAGCGATTCAGCAAGCTCTCGTAAGTAAGCAAGTCTGGTATTCTAAAAGCCAAGGTCTTTCAGGGAATTAAGCTGGACAGACTATCACGGACGCGCGCATAGTTGTTTACAAATCGCCTCATACCGAGTAAGCCCTATTGGAATACCAAACTGGTTCACTGGCCCTATGTCAGGGATCTCTCCCAGGGAGGACCCTTCCCTCTTACCCCCATGCCCTGGTTCTGGTAGCCGCCGGGGTTGTGCTCGCCGGCGCCGGAGAACATGGCCATGTGGTTGATGCCAGGGAACATCTGCTGCTGGTTTTGCATGCTCTGCATGTGCTGCTCGTAGGCTGTGCGCAGCTTTGCCGTGATGAGCGACTCGGCCTTGACCTCCTGCTCTAGGGTGCCCTTGATGGTGATGGTGCGCTCCGGATTGCAGATGGTCAGCTCGTGTAAGCTATCAAGGGACAAGGAAATGGGCACCTCCTCAAAACCAATGTATGATGCACACACACCAACATTCCATACTGCACTGTAGCGTTTTGTCAGCCTAATCCAATTCCTTGAGGCCTACTGTCATGCTTGGTTAGCATTCTTAGGATGTCTCGGCTCTTCGTCTTATACCATCTTATTGTCAGACAGCATAAGATAGCGTCACCGAGTTTTGATCTTCGCAGCGGGAACGCCAAATTTCACAAATGACAATGTGAACTTGGAGCTGGCTTTCGCCAGATCTGCGATTTAGGACCATCTGACATTTCAATCCACGGGGCATAATAAGAGCACTGAGACAAACTCCACACACTTGGCCCACTGAAAATGGCTTCAACCAGAGGCTGTCAATGTACTCAATTTAGGCTCCATGCTAAGGTCAATGCTTCTCGATATGAAATCATAAATTCATGAACCCAACCTAGCAACATGAGACGCAACTCACTTGAAGCCACTTTCACGCGAGCCTTCACAAAAATGCATCATCAACAACAACAACCCTCCCCAATTGTAACACTCTGAACATCCATTTTTCGACAGGGTGCCAAGCCGAGTGATGACACCAAAACAGCGAGGATGAAATTTGGCCCTGAGGCTCAGTTTGCGGGGTCCGATCACTTTCCACTCACGGGGAAATGGTGATGGTGGATCCAGACTCTTGCATGATGTGCTTGAGGGAGCTTCCACCTTTGCCGATCAGGCGGCCCACCAGAGCATCGTGGGCCAGCAGCTTCAGAGGGGGCATAGACCTAGTACAGGAGAACATGTCATTCAAGCACATAAACCCTTCATTTCAAAATACAACGTTCCCCAAGTACACTAAGGAGCTTCCATTGCTCAAGATTAGCAGAAATTGAAAGATTATTCCAACTCCAATACTAAAGTCTCTTTTAATACAATGCTCTTATCGCATGCTTACTTGTAAACTGTACTGGACTCAAATGTGCCAATATTGTCCTTGACTCGTGTTTGCCTTGTTCCATGATTTACATAGCATAACAAACAGCCCATCTGCAGTGGTGTACAAGTGTTCTCAATGTCTCGGGCAAGCAAGTTCTAACAGCACAACGTCATACGCAAACGTATCACTTCCTGTATGAAGACCTGTAATGATCAGGGGAGTGATCTCCTCTTAACCCCTTCACGCCGGGATTCTTTTGACTGTGACTGCTGGGCTGTGGTGTGCCCAGTATGCAAAGCTCTGTCCAGCACTAGGCCCACATTGAGCCAGCAGCTGCCTGGTGAATAGACTGTATGTGTGGTATGCACTAATCTTCACACAAAGCCGCAGCTGTGGACAGCTCCAGGTATGAAGGGGTTAAAGCAATCAAGTGCGACTCTGTAATGCAGATGGTGACTTCCTAGCAAGAGGGTCTGGCAAGAGCAGCCTTCGGCATGACCTGAAAAACCAAATGACCTGCGAGACAGCCTCACCCTTTGTGGCAGCACTCCTGGCTCATGATATCCCGGACCTTCTTGCAAGCAGAAGTGCAGTCTTCGGGGTTGCCAAAAAAGGTCACAGCCTGCGGACGAAATTCAAATTTGTTGGGAAGGGGTAGGAAATGGTGATGCCCCCGCCCCAACTATGGCTGGGTTCAAGTACAGACTTACACAGAGATCTTTTTCAATTGGGGATCAACTAATGATCATATTGGACAACATCGGCAAAACGTCGGATAGGCAAAATTTAACCGTCCTTGCCGATATGAATGCTGATGTTAAATTGAAGAAAGGAACAAACTCTGCACTCGGTTTTGGCAAACACAAATGTCATATTTTTTTCTTTAGCATGAATAAAACCATTTTTTAAAATTTGGGGCCGTTGGTGCGACAAAGACACCCTGAACATGGTGCACCCGTGTCACGCGCGCCAAAAGGCTAGCCGCGATTCAGCCCAGGGAGCTGTGCGTCTATTCTGCACGTACTGTACCATGTATACCCTGCATGTATTGGGTTTGAATACAACCGAGTATCGTGCAAGCGGCGCCGTGACGTACACAATTACTTCAACTCAGTGACAGTAAAGGCAAAAAACTAATCCCGTTTACGGTAATGTGTAAATTGACATTTCAAATTTTAAGGGAGTACACTGGTTTTGTGTTATGAGCAGGCCTACATCCTGTTGAGGGTGAGCTTCCAGTTACTGTTGGTTAAAACATCTGACACTGGATTGGCAGTTAAAACCTACATCGGTTGATCCCTATTTTCAATACAAGCCCTGCCTCTATTCATCAAGCGGTAGGGAAAGTTATATCTAAATCCTATCTCAATCATTTGTAAGTTTAGTCTAAAGCACCTGTTTATTCCGATACTTTCATTAAGACTCCTTTTATATTTTCTGGAACCAGTGGTTAGTCCAATGGAAGATGAATGCAGAGACCCATGATGACTTCTACCACACAAAATGGTTAGGACCACAGAAAATTTCCAGTCCGTGAACTGAACAATTCGGGCCTTCCTGGGCACAGCCTCAAACTGTCCACCGAAATTCAAGGAAAGTTTTTCTGCGAGTGAGAAGTCTCGCCTAGGAGTTAACAATAGAGAGGTTGAGTTGCACGTTCTACGTGAACGCGAACGCCCCAAAACGTGTGGACACCTGCTGGCGTCACTGCTTCATGCACATTGTCTCTCACATATGGGTAGTTCGCATGGATGTTCAATATGCAACAAATGGGAAGTTCACGTTGGATCAAAACGTGAGCTGCAGCTTTTTCGGAAGGTTTAAAATTATGTGTTGAACATTCACTGATATGAAATGGACATCTTTGGAAAGTGCAAAGGTAAGACTATTGGGATTTTTTTCGTGCTTTGTTTAATATGACTGATTAAACTTCTTTTGAGAGATTTACCAGATGTGATTGATCATTTATCCTTTTATTCGCGTATTCATTGGAAGTTGTACATTTTGTGCATGACACTCACCTTAACTTTCAAACAGGCATTTGACGCCTGCGCACCTGTGCACAATGAACAAATTGTCGCGTTCTTATTTGCGTAATACGTGCATCTAAACCTCCCTAATCACTGAAAAGTGGAACTCTTTCCTCACTTTTACCTTCTCTCCTGATCCTGGGTTCTCATGGCGATGGATGTCAATCCTGGGGGAAAAAAGGTTACATAAAATTGAAACGCCAAAGAATATTTAGTCCCCCCCAAAAAACTTTCAATGAACAGTCATTGGCAGATTTAAATACTCGCATTTCCGCATGAATGATATTTTACTCCGCCGTAAATAGTTACTAAACAGCTGAAAACTAATTGCTTGCACTTGTTTCAGCCTTTTTCAACCCCCCCGTTCCCAACCACAGCCTGAACTTTTTGAAGGCTGCGGTAATGGCAAGACACTGCCCTCTGCCATTTCCAGCCACCTGCAATAGCCCTCTAGTGTACATTAAACAGTCATCTGCCAGCACCTGTTCTATTTTGAGAAAATGACACAGGGAACAACATCCTGGGCAAAAGAAAAAAAAAGACAACTGCTAAAGGAAGGAAATGCGACAAAAATAGGTTGGGTAGGGGCAGGCTCATAAAAAAGAGCTGGGTTCTCAAGTAGCGGGATCTGACAGCTAACCCCAACCCCCACAAAAATAGTCCTTCAGCAATAAAGACCGTTTCATAGTCGTACCAGAGTCACAGATCAGTCCTCTACTTTCACACTCACACAAACAATGAAAAACACAAACAGTTCCACAAGGCACATGTGGCAATAAATGGTGTCCCATTTTGACGTGGCAAATCACTGGACATCAACAAGACAAAGGCTCCTGACGCTGCTGTCAAGTTAAGGTCCTCAAGCCGAATTCCGATGATTGGAATTAACCCACGGCACGATTGGCACACGCATCTTTCACATGTGCGTCGCTGCTGATGAGCTTAAAAGCACCCCTCCCCTTTGATCTTTGACAACCTCCAGGAAAGAATCAATTTTGTTCAAACGTTTCTCTGTGGGATTCCCAACCCCCCCGCGTGGGACACTGCGGTCGGATGGTATGAATAGGAACCCTAACAGGAAACCTGGGCTTTTTTTTTTCTCCCTAGACGGTTTGTCTGCACAGAGGCCCGTTTTCACTGATGACTCAAGCCAATGTGGGTCTGTGTGAAGGCTGCCCAACTCCGCATGGGGAAAGTGACTACAAGTATTTTGGGGGAGGGAGGTCTTGGAATACACAGAGAAACAGAAAAATGGACATACTTACTGAACCCCCCCCCCCAAAAAAAGCAATTCTTTATTTTGGCAATGATGAAACTTTGTGAGTATGCGACTTAGAAAGATTTAACTCCAGCATGATCTAGTGGAAATATGGGACAGATTTCCCTTTTCCGCACTGTTTTATGGTTTGAATTTAATCAACGGAATAAAATGGTTTTCAGAAACTGCCCTGGACTACTATTATTTGCTTAAAAACCACCAGTTTCATAAAAGAGAATGAATGATTGGCCAGACGGAAACAACCAACCTTTCTAAGATGAAATTAAAAAAAACCCGACTGCAAAAATATGTCTAACACAATGACATCAGCGATCCCCATCTTTCTCTGCTGCATGCTAATGTTCACCATTACGGCCAACCACTCATGAAAAAAAATAACAAGGTGATATTGCCAGAATGACTGCTGCCACGGCAACTGTAGCCATGGAGATGCTGACATGCAAACAGGCTTTTCGTGGCAAACAAGATTTTTCACACAATGTGGGTAGCTCCCCATTAGCACGCCCTATAAATCTGCTAAGGAAGAAAGCATGAAAGTGATCCACACAAAAAAATTACAAACGGGGAAAAAAACATGGTCTTTGTGAAAATCACATCCCACTAGAAGGTGGTGCGGGCATAGAGTCTATAAAATATGATCATTTATTCCATTTAGGCATGTCTACTCTGAACCTTGAATAACTCACCACTGCCAAGTATTACAATAAGCCAATGGCAGATTCTGTTTTGGAAACAATGGAAGGCGAGGACACCAATGTGCTGAGCTATGGTGGCTGGAATTCTGAAATCCCCAAATCGTTACAATAATGCACAAGGTCTACATTAATGGAGTTCTAACGGCCTTTTAGTGGAAAGGCCTCCGGCTCGTTACATTTAAGCATTTTACTCCAGCGGTTTTGTTGAAACAATTTCTCTCTAGGGGGTGGCAAATTCTGCCATGCTCCAATGATAGGTCACAGAGTTTATTTCCTACCTGGCCCTGGTTTCTGCAGTGGTCTGTTTGATGGTCTTGCCTCCCTTTCCGATGATGGCGCCGACCATTTCACTGGGAACCAGCATTCTGATAAGCAACCCCCCCCCAAAAAGAAATTACTTGAGCAGGTATCACTCTGCATACAAGGTAATGAAATGAAATAGAATCCGTCAAGGAGCGGCTTTGGCTACAACTGCACTGCAGGTGCTTTTTTACAGCGAAACCTAGGCAGTAAGTTACATACGACCTCAGCGGGAATATTGCATGGAAAAACCTCTTTCTGCACATCTTACAAAACGCTTCCCAAGATACATCGACTCCTACACAAGCACAGAATTCAGCACAGGTATCACTCTGCATACAATCGACTTACGAAACTGATCTTGTGTAACAACTAGGAATGACCACACAAAAGAAAGAAGACACTGTTTATACAAAGAATGTGGGCGGTTTCTATCTGTAGGCGGTGTAGGGTTTAATGTTTACTGGATCACATCGTGCTAGAACAGCTGCCCACACATGGGTAAAAACTTATCATGCCCAGCCTTCAGACACAGGGAAGGAGCATTAACATTTATTCTGTGGCATTTACGAACTCAAAAACCCACACATTACTATGTAGTTGACTGGTTACAAAATCTGACATTTTTTGTACTTTTTCGAAAATTCACCAAGTTGCTTCATTCGAGTGATTCTGCAACGAATTAGAAAATTCAGTTTTCAACAGGCGGCACTGAATTAAGGCAACAAATCGTTTTCCAAATCAAAAAGGGCTTGTGCAGATCAATGTCATCAAAGCATCTAATTTAAAAGAAACATCAAATCTTGTATGGTACGAGTATAAAAACAATTTACATGCAATCTGGTCTAACTGACCCAATTTCTTCTGGAATAAAATTTCAAACTCTTCGAGTGTACCTTGAGACAGTGGACACAAAATGCAGCAATTGACTGTTTAACCCCAACCCACCTCAATCCTCCAAAATCCTCTGGCTGGTTTTGGAGGATTTTGGAGGACGGAGGATGAATAGTGATTGAAGCATGGAGGTTTACACAATCCTCAACTGCGGTGTGTTAAAACAAAAGCACATGTCTGCTTTGTTTATTATAAAAGTAAAGCCCTTTACCAAAAAAACCGGCTTTAGCCCAGCAACCAACCTGATGTGCCCAACCCTCCCCCAAAAAACACAAAACAAGACAGAAAAACCAAAGTAGGGCCATGGAGGATTTTGCAGGATTGAGGTTTCAAGTATCCTTCATTTTGTGCTAAGCCCAGAAACTGGAGGATTTTGGAAGAACGAGGATATGCCTTAGTAATAAGGCCCTAGGTTGTTAGGGTTAATGCTTCAATCATTACTGGATGGCCGAGGGTGTCAGGGGAACAAAGTCCCGAGCAGGACTGTCAAGCTAAGAAAACCAACAACAAATTAGCCAGTGCAATGGAATATGCCATAGAGTGCTTACCTGACAGGGAACACGGCATTGCCCTGGTTGCGGTTGGGATTGCGATTGTACCGATTGCTCTGGCGAGACCCAGAATTCTTATAGTTCACCTGGCAAGCAAAAAAAGACAGGTTCCACTTCAACAAGGAGGATTCATCAGTAAAAAAAAAAAAACACACACATTCTACAGCATATGTGCGTCAGTTCAGGAACACCCAAGAATGATTCAGCGTGCAGTGAACGGTTATGTGACCGAAGCACTCCCATTGACAAAGCCGGATTGCACTTTTTTCAAAAGCCCGGATGGCGTGAGAATTCTCACCTTGAGCTGCGAGTTATTGAATTCATAGTTGTTGAGCTGCTTTATGGCCTGCTGGGCCTGCTCCACAGCTGCATAGGTAGCATTCACACTGTAACCGTTGGCACCCTCCTTGCCTGCAAACGCAAACACACAGAAGCAGTGACGAGAGATTAACACCCGGAAGCTTTAAGCCGCAGATCCCCACCATCTCTTAAAAAATCCTGAGATTTGGAAGTGCAATGTTCTAGGTCGGCGACCGCACCTTTTTCGCAGGAGGAGACATCGCCAAATGTCTTCAGCAGGTCCTGGACTTCCTGCACTGGAGTGCTCAGGGGGATATTGTGCACCTGAATGTTGGTGGAACGGCTCCTGGAATATTTAAAAAGGAAAATTCATAAAGAGTTGACGTCGGGTACTTCAAATTCGTAACATGTGTAGAAGTGGGTTAGCGATGCCAGTTCCTGTTACATACAAGTTCTGAAACTGGACAGTGGGTTAGAGTTTTATGCTGCGGCACTGAAAATGCCGGGTTATTGATAGGAAGCTCCCCCAGATCATACTGGCTCTTTGAGTGCTTTCTTTTCATCAGCCACTGATGGATGTTTTCACTACAAGTTACCGTCCAGACTCAACAGAAGGCCCACAAAATGGGACCTTGCACCCAAGATTGCAATAGCCAGAACACTCAAAGTTAATGACCAAATCTGATTGGCTCATCAGGTCAATGTTAATAGACCACAGCAGTCGTTTACATATCTAACCCTAGTGATTCCAAACCAGCCAAACTCCAACACCAGGGTTGGTTGGAATCTGTTAGGTCGAGTAATGCACTGGTGTACTAGCTGTGCTCATGTGGGATTAGGAATCAAAATAAACAGAACCCCTACTTTTTATGTGCAGTTTACTCCAGCAGAACCTCCTTATTAATAACAAGCACTGTTAACACAAGATTCTGCTTACAACAAGGACATTTTTAGGTCCCAGTCCTATATTTTTCATTGGTTTCATTCCCGATAATATAAGGTTCCTGTCATAACAGGGTATTTTGCAAAGTCTGAAGGACCTTTTACTAATGAGGTTCTACCCTATGTGGTGTTGAGTGTTGAAAGGATGTGGAAGGTTGCTAGTAAATCTCCCTAGGGAATTAGGGTTGGGCCTAGTGCCAGTGGAATTTATTTAAATGGAAGGGGCTTCATCATTTTCCCAAAATTGAAAAAAAACATAGTAAAGCAACAAGCAATTGTGAGTAAAATTTGAATAAAACCTGGTACACTGTGTTATCTCATTGCATATAAATAAATGCAACAATTTGGTTTCCCCAGACTAAAGACGCTGTTGCTATACCTCGTGATTCCGGGTAAAGCTTTTGCACAGTGACCACAATCACTGGAGCGGACTGATTCCTTTGTGCTCTTATTTATTGAGAACAGTGCATTGTTGTAAGGCGTCTCTTATGTAACTAAGCAAAAGCTTGCCCCAAATCATGAGGTATAGCAACAGTGTTTTTAGTCTGGAGAGTTCAAATTATGTTCATGGGAATTTAAAGAACTCACAGCACCAGATTTTAGCCAACTTGAACTCGCAAATGGCTTACAGGCACAGCTTTATTGGATATCAAACCTCAAATAGTAACAACTTGGCCGTCCAGTTTCTAAATTTGTCCAGAAGAAAACCCAGTCTGCATGCTGGTGTGCATGACAGGAATGAACAAGTAGTGCCAGAAGGCATCAATCCCCGGAGCTGCCACACAACGCTTATTTTATGGCTGAATGAACTTAAGTGAATACTGACACTCCCGTGGAACAAAATTTAAAACATTACCCAATTCATCAACGCTAGAGACTCATTCATTACGTGATGCAAATGACACACACGTATGTGGCGGTCACTCGTATAGTATCTATCCTATGGCCCACTTTTTTCCACATACTCTTCCAAACTATAGCAAGACCTACAATACAGCATTTAATGTCCACCATTTACAACAGCCAGACTTTGAGTCCCCTGGGTACACTGTGCGACTAACACCTGTAGTGTTTTAAGGGTTCAACCTAAACACGAAACAAACTTGGCGTGTATGCTCTTAAATGGATGTCCAGAATTCTTAATGACATAATTTCAATGCACATTTTATTAAAAAAAAAGTAATGTAATTCACAGGTCAGCAGATGCTAAAGCTCTTTTGTTTTCCAGTTAGTTGAACCTCACGAGTTTATGACACAACTTTGTTTCAGTTTTGATATGAAATGATTGGACGCGCAAATGGAGGCTCACCACTGAGCTAACCACAAACCAAAACCCTGTGTAATGAACATTTCCTATGACGGAAAATGATGAAGTAGATTATATAACATTCATTGGGTTTGTGAAACTTTACAGCAACTGCTGGCACATGCGGTGTATAGGGCCTACAAGTTGTTCAAAGGTAAGACACTTTCAGGTTACTGCTCACCTTGACAAGGAAAAGTTGTAGCTATTAAAACCAAATGTATGTATGAGGAGTAAGAGGCATGCTTGTACATGTATACATGTACAGTGGTATTTCCTTGCCAAACAAACACCATATATGTACCTACTGTACGCTTTATCCTTACGACAAAGCTGCAGACAAAAACAGGTGACACCATCAACTTTGTAGCCAATAAAGGTTTTCCCAATTGCACGAGATGCCTCATGATAGCACTAAGCTGTGATCTCATAACAAAGATACCAAAAAGTATGACTGTGTAACTGACCAGTGGTTACCCTGACCATCCCAAATCTTCCATAAATCCTCACAGCCAACTTGAGAATCAATGCATGGGAGGATTTTGAAGGATTGAGGGCATACGCCATGTCATTCTCTGGAGGAATATGGAGGATTCAGGTTGTCACACACTTGTAATGATTTTGGAGGATTCAGGTTATTTGTTATGTGTACTTTAACCCTTACTACTTTGTAGTAAAATATAGCACACAGCGCTGCTGTTTGTAGGAGTACACGACCTTGTTCTCTGGAGTCATAAAATCCAATAGATAAGGCAATGTACCATAGATTGTGTGGCACTATGACTTTATTATTCTCAGTACAAGTAATAATGGAAGTGCCCTAGCCAGACATGGTAATCTGTAGCACACTGGAGGATTTTGGAGGATTCAGGCTGTTGTGCCCGGTACCTTTCATTCCACACTTTTGCAGGATTCAGGTCACATGGGACTTGTAACACTTCAGAATTTGGAGGATTCTGCCGGATTCAGATTATTTACTGGAAACATGGGGTAGAGAGTTAGGGTTGATGTATCCACTGTAGTTCTATTTCATCATAAAAATCTGTGATATCATGAATAGATTTCAAATGAATTTAACCTCCAAAAATGCACAGGTAATCTATTCAATCCCCCCCTATGAATGCCACTGGAGTCGTCAGCCTTGCCAGACTCCCAGTGGGACAACCAAAGGTTTATGTTCTAGGATAATAAGAGTCACTGAAGGAAATCAATCCAACCCATTTTTTTTATCCCTTAGGTATTAATTTCTCAAGAAGGTTTATTCTAGTGTCCAAAACGCTGAAGGTGCATTTCCCCCCCCCCCCACTGGAGCCCAGAGGTATGAAATTACTTTCACATGGAATCAAGGACAGACGGCTCCACATGGAGAGGGTAGTTAAACTTAATGGAATCCAAATTATTGTAAAAACATCATTTAAAGCCATCCACAAAACAGACTAGCCGCAAGTGCATTCATACACTCTTTCCACTAAACCAACAAAGGCCAATGCAGATTTCAACGTCCTTTGAAAGCAATCTTTTTGCCATTCTATTCAACATGGAATCTCCTGGTATTCTCCATCCATCCAATCTACACAGCTCGACCTTGTTTCGCTTTAACCACAAGAGAACGCTCCACTTACACCCTACTTGGGACTTACTTGAATACACACTGCAACACAAATCAAGAATACAATTACCTCTATGGCGAAAAAATCATGGCTGTTAGTAATATCATTTGGCACCGTTATTAAGGTACACCACCAACAACTGAGCATCGTGTAGTGAACATCACGGCAGGCTTGGAAATAACAGCCACTTCCACTGCCCCTTTAATGTGTCCCCCATGATCCACCGCATTTGAACTTGCCACTCCCACTTTCGACCTCCTTTTGACACAGCGACCCCCCTCCCCCACCAGCTGAAGTGCTGGCAGACCAGTCACTGGGACCTTCAACCAAATCTTAGTACAAACCTTATTACTGCAAGCCCAGCATTTTTCCCCAGTCTGTAAGCATAGGCCACATAAATTGTAAATGTGCATGTACACAGTACAGTGTAATAAGTGTAACTTTATGTACATCTAGGAACTCTCATGAGCCTATCTTCTTACAAAAAAGCTTTATTTCATTCAGTTCAAAATACAAAATACTTCATTTAAGGTCAAGCTGACCGAACACCCCATTAGCGAGCCACCACGATGTGATTTTAACGGGCATGTTCACAAGACAAATGAGTTGTGATCTCTGGTAATAAAAATGACATCCTGTCTAGACTAAACTGCTTCAAGATAGCGAATGCTGGGAAGAAAACAGAAAAAAAAAATTCTGAAGGTTTTTGGCGTGAGTGGGGACAGTTGTTCCAACTATTCTCACAATCATACGAAATGAAAGACATTCGCCAAGACTCACTAAATACATTCAAGCCTACAGGAACCTGCCCACCAACAGCACAATTGGCATCCCATTATCAAACAATCCCCAGCCTCCAGACACACCGGGTGATAAGGGTGACATACCAGTGTGTCTAGCCACTGTTCACACACTACCTCAGAGCACACAGACCCTTGCAAACACAAGGCCACAATGCTGTGGAGACTTTTTCTGCCTGTTACGGATCACTGCTGTTAACCCGTTACATATACAGAAATGACAGGGGCCACACGATCTTGGTTCATGTAGAAAACCACTCACACACAATGATAAGGGAGGTTTTTCTCTGTTAATATTCAAGACTGTACTGCAACAGTAGTTTGAGAAATCTGTGGCCTTCAGAGGGAAAAGTGGGACCTTGGCAATGTAATTAAGGGAGCAAGTTTTCCTCGTTGGATTCCAAACTAAGCTCAGCTACTTTTTCATGAGATTTTACTCATGTCGAATCTGTACAGAGAGTATGAAAATGGTTCACTTCAGAACAAGATTTTTCTCAGTAGGGCTGTGCCGCTTATTCAAATATTTCTGAAAACGATTATTCAAGGTGAAAAACAATACAACAGAAAGGAAAAAATTAATTTATTTGGATGCAAAATTGAATTCTAAAGCATATTTCAAGATACAAGTTAATGGCAGCTAAATGCACATGACTGCCAGTGGGCTTCAAAATGAACTTCACTGGTTCACAGATGACTAGGAAATGCATGCATTATGGTCACATGGCTACCAACGAAATGAACATGCTTTTTCAATTGATGGGGGGCACTTCTGCTCCAGGCAGAATGGCAGATATTGGCCAATAAGGTTTTTTTTTTAACTCTTCACAATAAAGATACATGTTTTGTTTCTGCTAAGGTAGGAATTTGATATAAGCGAATATATTTAAATGTGTGGTGAGCAACTGCAAGGTTGAAGATTTGAATATTCAACAACTCAAACTGACTCATTCTTTCTCAACAATAAAACCCTGTTCGCACTGGAAGACTTCCTCTCAGTTACTTTTCCCGAGCCGCGCGGGAATTTTTACCGGCCAACTTCTGGCCAGGAAGAATTCCCGAGACACTTTTCCCTAGACAGAAAGTCCAGAGTGGAGAGTGCAAGTCGGTAAAAGCGGCTCAGGGAAGCGTACATCCAGTTTACTGGCAAGGTCAGGCTTACACGAGCCCCGCGCATGTACGTTGCAAGCGTCCACGTGATGTATATACACGTACACACTGCGAAGCTTATTTCTGGTTGCTTTGCAGTCATTTCGTGTTCTTGAGTCTCTCGAATGATGGCAGATATTTTTACTGAAGCAATCAGAAGGTTAATTGGGGCCACCAATGTATCATTGGAAGAACTGTCATAACCGGAAGTTTGTAAAAGGTGCGCGCGTACTTGGGTCAAAGGGCGAACACGAAAGGTCACGCAAAGCGCCCTCATGTGCCATTATAGTGACAGCTTGGTTACTTTTCCTACGCGTCTCAGTAAAAATCCCCGCATCAAAAGTCCAAGTGTGGACGGTGGTAAAATTTGCCCATTTTTCATTTTCCCATCGGCTTGGTAAAATCCTCAGTAAATAAAGTCCAGTGTGGACAGGGCTTAAGAAAGGTGGAAAAGAGTTCCTTACCTGGAAAATCATGACATTCAGTGCAAAAACCCGGTAAGACTGGCCTAAAATTCTATGTACGTGTATCTACAGAGTTACTACTTGCATATATGCCCTGAATTTGACTTTTAATGACAGGCCATCGCTTTATGGTAACCCAGTTGTCACTGCCGGAGGCAAAACAATGAGGATATCATTGTATGGAATTATTTGGGGGGACTTGTAAATGACTTGAAAATGAGTTTTAGGTAAAAATTTCAAGCAAAATGTGCACAACTGTCGGTTGTTTTTGCCACAGTCCTTCATTGTCCCAGCGTGCTTAGAGTAGAAATATGCAGGAAACAGTTCCATGTACGGACGCCACTTGACACCATGCACAAAACCTATGGGACTGATCTAAAAAAAGTGTTTTGTAAGTAAACAACTTGGTTTTTCCCTCCTCAATTGAATGTTTCTGGACATATTTTTGCTTTCAGATGGCTAATAGGTCACTGTAGGGAATAAATACTGGCGTCAATACATGGGACTCTTCCCAAAAGGGAAATTACATGAATAAGGATCAAATCAGAGTTTATGTCTAGACATACCTGTTGCCTCTGCCGCGTTTGGGGACAGACTGCTCCACCACCATAACTGATCCAAGTAAGTTATAGTCTGAAATAAAGAAAATAATCCAATGATCTTTTTATGTTAAAGACATTACTTCCAATATCACAACCACTATAATACCTTTGCTGATGCATTTCAATTAAGTGAAGAGTCCATTGACCTTTGGCCAAATTCAAGTGGCATTTAAAAAATGTTTACATCCACAATTTTCCTGAATGGACGCAGCTGCATCATACATGTAGTTTGTTTGGCAATCACATAGGGCAACTAAGAATACTGTCCGAGTGTAAACAATATTTGACATTTTCCATTTTAATAACTTTGGACTGGTAAATTTAGTTTAGGTTATTAAAATGTGTCAAAGTACTGTAAACAGAAAACGGCAAACAATGCATTGTCTTTTCACTACTTTTGCAAAGAATGTAACATCGTGCCTCCACTTTTTCATCACGAACGCCCATCATCTCAATAGAGGTCAGTCATTGCAGAAATACCAAAAAGACAAGGATCCGGGGCTAAAAATTTCCAGCATTGATAGGAAACACTTGAAAAAACTATTTCAAATGCTTTTCCAGAAAAAAAATGACATTAGTGATAGACGTATTTCTGCAATTTGTAGGACAGGCCTAGGCTAGTTTCAGTTTATCTTGGGATTAAAGATGTAGGCCTACATGTAGGTGCTTTTTCTATCAAACAGTGGTTACGTCTTGCAGAGAAAATCCAGCATCTTCCCCCTAAAACTGAAACCAGATGTGATAATGCAGAAGATTAGAAATATGTACAACTCCTTCATGCAGGTCGTAACCTCTGAAGTGTTCCTATTATCAGGAAGAGTTCCATATACAGTGATATGCGGACACCAGTAATTATTCCCTGAAGTGACCTATTAGCCAACAAAGAAAGCAAAAACAAGTCCAGAAAAGTCCAACTCAGGAAGAAAACCAAGTCGTTTACCTAGAAAAAAATTTTCTGACCAGTCTCCTAGTTACAGCCACACATAGGGTTTGTGCACAAGGTGTCCAGCGGAGTCCGTATATGGAACTCTTTTCTTAGTTTCACTCGTAGTAACTTCTAGAATTATTTTTTTGAATTTGCGGCTTACTGTCCCTGACCTACATACAACAAAGACACTATCGAACCCACAGCACCCCGTGGCGGTCATGCTATCTAGCGTCAACAACTTGAAAATACCCTCTGAGAATTTAAAAGTAGTTTTATCTAAAGTTAGAGACTCTAAGACCTGTCACTGTGTAAAAGAAATATCGAATTCGCTTCCAGATTCAGGCAGAAAAGCGAAACTTTTTCGTGATGTAGGGAGGCCGCCATCTTTCTTTACCGTCCACGCGAATACAAGATGGCGGCCGGTCAGGCTGCACGAGCCGGTCGCTCAGATAATTCCTCCATGCTCAGATTTCCACCCTCAAATATTATTTTTGATAAAAGGCCTATGATACGTTGAATATGATATGTAGGCCTAGGCACCTTATTTATATTGTAAATATGAAATATTTGGATAAAAATGCCAGAATATTTAGTTGACGCTAAATGGCATGACACCCACCACGTGGACGTTACACCGCCCAACCGAGTGACCACCATTCATGTAGTGCCTACCGTGTACATGTACAGCACAGGGTGTATTGTGTTGCGTGCTCAGCACACTGTCCAACACATGGCGTGCATATGGTGCACGTCATTTCAACATGGCGACTTCATCCCAACCCACACAACATTTGGGTACTTTTCGTGCAATATCGTCGTCAAATTTACGCCAAAGACGGCGTCTCCCGACACTAAACTCATGCCAAATATATGAAATGTTAACATGCTGTCACAAACATAACTGACCGTTGAGCTTATCGATGGCAAGTTGGGCCATTTCTTCGTTCTCAACATCCACAAAAGCGAAGGGGCTGGCGTTGCTGTTCGGGTTGGCGCTGCGCTTCACCACCATGCTGGAGACGGGAATGCCATTTTCCTCGAAGAGATCGCGCAGGGCATCCTCAGTTACGTCCTCACTCAGGTTTCCGCAGTAGATTTTATTCATTGTGGTTGTTGTTGAGGGTTGAATTTACAAGCCTGGTGAAATTTTGGGTGAGATTGTCGCCGGTTTGGGGGAGGAATAAGTGGCCAAAGAGCCAAACTGCTCGGCTACCTGTGTGTTGGGTTTGTGACTGTATGAAAGAGAGACCGCCTGTACGCGCTCGGTACGCACAAATACCACAAATTTTTCGCCCTGCCCACGTGTTCACACCACGTGATTTTGATTGGCAGCTGAATGCGTGTCGCGCAGATTCTGTGTTCGTTGATTGGCTAATGCAAAGCAGGTAAGCCGCTCACTCAGCAGACTGACCAATCAGATGGTTCATTCTGAATCACACTAATACCGCACTCAAATACCTAGCATTTTAATTCACTGAATTGAAGGATTTGCTGTGCATTTTGGAAATTCTGAAACGCAACGTTGACCAAGTATTCGAAGTGCCTGATAAGATAGAAAAAAATGCACTCATAACTTGGTCAATCTCGTTGTCCACGTTCAATCAAAACATACATGTACATGAACGTGAGCAAAGTTCTCTTACACATCGTGCAGAAAGAAATTATGAATGAAAATTGGAATGAGTGACATTCCTTGGACAGTCAATTCCAGTCAACTAATTCTCTGGAATAAATCCAATCTTCGCCACATATTAAGAAACGTGGCCCTTTGCCTTCCTTCTCACAAGCACCAGAGGTGTAAGCACAATCGGTCCAAACCATACCTCCAAATTAAAAACCTTACATATTACAAAAAAGTGTATCTTTATGCGCAACCCTTCCCTTTTTAAACAAGTTCCTAGCTTTTCGTATCAGGTCAATGCTGTTGCTTTCATGCTTTTTCTAAAATATTTCCTATTACGCGTGTATACACTTTCGTACTGAAAGGTTTATTTGCATTTATAATGAGTTCTTTCACTGGGCAACCCCACCTCGGAAAAGAAAAGATTGACTGACAGGGGGGGGGACAAGACAAACAACGCAAAATAACCTCTTAAATAAATTAAACTGAATTAAAATGAAACATTTCGCATTTCTTCGAAAGTTAAATTACAAAACAAGTCTCTTGATTTATTCATCAATTTCATACAACAAAGTGACTTCTGGAACTAAAATTACTGGTTTGCATTTTTGTTTTCTAGCGAAAAAGCTGTCAAAATATTCAAATTATCGTATTTTTTTAAATTTTACTAGGAAACCTTCCTTTGGTAGGTATCTGTTAATGCAACAATAGCCAACATGATAGTAAAAGTGGTGAATTTCTCACCATAAATATTCCCAACTGCTGTCATGTGTACCCAATGAATAAAATGTACCTTGTGAAATAATGAAATTCAATATTGATCAGAGCTCTCAATTTTCACCTGCTATTACTATACGGGCACATCATTCCATGTTGTCTCGGTGACATAGTAATGTTCCATAGTACGCACCAACAAAATCACCATATATTTGCATTATTTTCAAGGGGAGGGGCTAGTACTATCCTTCATGCTAATAATCCTTCACTCCTCCCCTTTCCTCTGCCTACTTCATTTATTTCTCCAGTTACTCTCAACTTCTGTGCACTAGTTTCTTTCTACTATCCTAAGACTGTGCGATGTTATTGTAATGGACCTTACTCGTGGGGAGGCCATTTTTAAACATCTTGTTCCCTGAATCTATCATATTCAATGGAATCTGTTAAATGGAGTGGTGCCCGACTATTTTGAGTTCCAAACCTCACTTTCATTTTTTTTTTAAATGCGGCTTAAAACATTTAGACACAGTTTATCACGCATTTTAAATTATTCAGCACAAACAACTGGGATTAATTTGTACTTGAATTGAAAAGCTTTACCTCACTTTCAAATCAAGATGGCCGACACATGAACACGGCCAATTTTGCAGACTTTTGCAGAGTTTTGTAAAAGTTGTCCCAAACTTCTGGGTTCGTACTTTATATGTAGCTACAATGCCTCCACGTGAGAACATTAACAGTCAAGAATATAGAAACGTAGGAAGTAATGCAAAAATGGAACCACCTAAACGTACGTCTGGCCAGTATGTGATATGCAACAAAAAATAAGTAGCACTCCTAGTTTGAGGACACATCCAGCCCTAATCTCCTGTTAACAGCATCTTTGTAATTTCACTTTTAGGCTAGTTTAAGGAAACTGGATAATTTGGCACAAATCCATGCCCTTGTTGATAGAAGTTAAATCTATGTGCATACAACAATTGTGCATATTCATATTAGAAAATAATGGCCTCTATTGGCTGATCAAAGAATATCAGATCAGATTTTACAGAAAGGCACAGCGGAAACAAGAGGGATCAGAACTGGAGATCGACTGACCAATAGCGGCAGAATGATCTTCCATAGGGTGGGGGGGATGGAGAGGCCATTTATGAGACCGTCATAAGAACCAGCCAAATGTGGGAGGGGGGCCATTACCCCAAAGTTAAAAAGTAGGGGAGAGGGGAGTGGCATCCCAGACCCCCCCCCAATCCTTAACATCGCCCCCAACTGCAGCCCACACTACATAGCACTGGTCGAGACTGGGAAACTAGCGGGTTCTCTTCCCGGTTGTGACTTTATGCCCGATGACTTTGTAGCAGTTCAGACCACATACGGAGTTCATCCAGCATTTCAATCAATCGTTGGAGATCAACTCCTCAAGATGATAACATCATTAAGATACCCCCCCCCACAAAGTACTGATCTAACAAAGCCTACACGCCTGCACACTGTATATAGGCTGCATGAGCGGAAGGAACAATTAGCATCATAGAGCTCTGTATTAATAATAACGCACTGTGTTTATGTGTGTGCTTTCCAATGGTGCACAGTAGACCATGGGCCCCACCACCACCTGCTCTGTAGGAAAGTGCACAGGTAAATAAAATGTGATGTCATCAGTACTTAGCCTTATGATCACAAGCTCGTCCGGCCCCTTGTCAACGCCTCCGCACTTCCCTCCAAATTTGGAAATAAGGAAAAACCTTCACATATGTGGTATACAGTGAGTTTCGATGAGGCTTACGTTAACCACTATTGCAAGCATAAAATAATGATATATTACGGCTTTATAAACAATTCATGAACAAATACATGCACCTAATTGGCTGTGAGCATGTTTGCCACAACTTCGTAATGCAGGATGCTTTCCTGGTATGCATTGATTCTTAATGTGCGGTAACAGCACATGGAAACCAGTGAGGTAATTTTCTAGTTGGTTCCCACACTTTCCTTGCAAATATCGAAAATATAAAAGTGGGGCAGGGAACCGATGGAAAAAAAAGAAACTGGCTTTCCCTGGTATGAGCATACAGACTTCCCAAATAGGGCTCTCCATGTGCTCTTGTTGCCCGGGCAACACAGCCCTCTCATTGCTTGCATGGTTCATGCTAGGAAGTCGGAGCTGGTCATCTGAAATCTGCTACACGGATGGTTAGCCCCACTTCCGGTTTCTTGGGTCGGCGACCGTCAAAGGTCCAGGCTGCGTTATTCTCCTTCAGTTCTTGTCGTCTGTCAAGTGACCGAAAAACACCACCAAAAACAAAAGGTTAAGGTGCCATCATCTTGAAGGAGTGAAGACCGATTCGACAGTGTCAGTAACATCAATAAAAAACACTTGATGGGGAAAAAATGGCAAATTAATCAGCAACGACATCGCCGGCTAATAAATATCAAGATTGTCCACAATGATGTCCGAGTTGCTGTTCAAAATAGTACCAAAGCGCGACGTCATATTAAACCAAGAAGTGTAGCGCAAAGGAATAAGGTACGCACGCATGTTGGTTCACCATGCGCTGGTTCTCGCACAAATGCCTTTCACACACATAATTGTGCATGTGATGTATTCACTTCAGTTGTCTGTGGCCTTCGATCAAGAACTGACCAACCAATGGTGCTACCGGTAGGCATGTCTCCCCCGCCCCCCGTGAAAGTCTCTGACCCCTCCCCTCCCTCAGGTATCCCCATTTGAAATATACACAGCCTATGTACAAGCCACACTTCAAATGCTTTCAGTGCCCTCACGGGTGCCCCCCCCTCAGAAATTCCCCTCCCCTCCCCCAAATCCCGCTGCTGGGTCCAACCCTCGCGTTCATACCTTTTCCTCTTGTCTTCGGCTTCCTGCTCCAGTCTCTTCTTCCCGGCCAGGTCCTCCTCGGTGGCGAAGTCATCCTGGTCCAGGGGATGAAACCTCAGGTCCTACGGGACGTACAGTGAGGGAAACAATCGTGAAGAGTTGCACTGAATGGTCTGAGGCAGTGGCTGCTAAAGCATACTCCACCACTATGGCGTGCAGTTGTGAATACAAGGTGTCATGGGGTGTCGCCGGCGGGAGAAAGGGCACTCCCCCCCCCTCAAAAAAAGTGAGACCGACAAAAAAAGGGACGAAAATGGATACAAATCGCCAGTTTGCTTGCAAATACCTTCAAACTGACTCCTTCCACTGTTCGTAGTTTATCAGTTTGATGCCGATGACTGGTTCCCCCCCCCCCTTTCCCGGGAAAAAGTCCTGGTGACACCAATGCAATGAGCTTTGATTGACCCACCTTGACGCCTATGGTGTCCCCATCTTTCAGGCTGTAGGGGGGTTGCTTCAGGCTGACACTGGGCTTGACCCCGCCCCCTCCTTTCCTTTTGCCTCTGCCCTTACCAGTTTTGGTCTCCTAAGAAATAAACAACAAATAACTTATTCAAGAATACAACATTCATTCCAATCAAGTTATGTCACGTGGTCACTGAAAATTATCAACAATTTTATGAATTTCTGGGATATTGACAAAGGTGCAAATACTCGATGGCTTTCCAGACGTAAAGAAATAAACAACTTCGACGAGACTTAAACTTCCCAGACCTCTGAACAACAAAACCTCAGACAATTACTATAACAGAAAGGAATTCTCAAAATTAAGAGATTAAGCCATAGTGCCTTAAGACAGGTGAATTCAAAGTTCAAGAAGTCAAGGTTCCTGGTTCAGTTCCAATTTATTATGGTAGCCACTTGCAAATGGCTCAGTATTAAGAGATGGGTAAAAAGTTTTTGACAGTACTTTGCCAGGGACCAATGGGCCGGGAACCAGCTGTGAGCAGTACACATCGCAAGACAGGTTGGCCGGTAACCTCCAGTTGCTGAGCACAACTCTCTAGTGCTCGGCAGACTGGCTTCCGTTGAAGAAGATTAGAGGTCTCTGACTTGTCCAACTCACCACCGCCTGGTCCTGTATCACCAGCCACTCATACTTCTGGCTTAGATGCTTGGCAATTGCGATCTGTTCAGCCGGCAGCAGCAGTCGGTCCGCTATGACCTGTCGAAGGCTCTGCGGGGTGGCCGACTTGGCAGTGTCCCAAATCAGTTCCTCCTTACCACCATAGGTACGAGTCTCTGGAATCCTTTGGCATATATTTAAGACTATTGCACTTGAGCTAAAAAATCAAACAAAACGAAGAAAACTTCAAAACCAAGAACCATCGTATGCAGGGAAGTATCCTGTAGATGAGGCAGAAACTTGTTTGGCCCTTAAAGAAATCTTTCATCAGCCACTCTGTAACGGGCAACTATAATCATTTGGACAAACTTCCTTCCACTCCAAATTCCCTAACATTTCTGGAATGGGACTCTTGAGACCTGGGTATTCCCAGCATTGCCCAGCAACTGTCTTGAACCGTTGCTTGGTGAACAGTGGACTATACCTACTGTCGTCGATTTGGGTTGTGAGTTTAGCAAGACCCACCAAATCAATTGAACTGTCCGCAAAGTAGGCTTAAGTGGAATAACCCTTCAATGAGAAGGCTAAACACCGAAACAGAATTACTTCAGCTTCTCAAAGTCGCGAGGTTCAAAATGCGAACCAGCCGCTGAGTCTACAATCCAAGTGCCAATCTGCAGTACCTAAGCTTCTCTTCCTCCTGTAAAATCTGAACGGCAATGTGAGATGCGCTGGTGACCTTTGACCTCCTGCACGGAACAAGGAAAAGCAGAATGAATAGAAAAAACGATGAAAACGGTTTCGCTTGCACGAGCAGGACATTTATGGACAGTTCGCCTCCCCGTTGTATATGTGCTGTTGCACAATATGGGCGCTTGGCCAATCACAGTGCGCGGACTCTGTCGGCCCAATGCGCGTTTGGAAAGGGTCGACAGATATCATGCACTGTGATTGGCCAACGCGTTGCCAACTCTTGGAGGCGCACTATTGTGTATCGCCCGTATTACGAGACTCCACTGCATACAGCATGCATAAGAAAATGGCATCTGAATATCACTTTCACCATTCAAATCTAATTCTATGGGCATGTTAAATTACGAGCATTCCTCAATCCTCCCAAATCCTTGCACAGGAAACTGACACACTCTTTGTACTTTGTACATCTGTACCATTAACAGCGTCCCCCCCAGTGGCGATGATGTCAACACCCCCCTCGTTTTCAGACACCGCCTCACCTCAGTGTCTGCCTGTCGTCTCGCAGCACCCTACCCAGAGTGCCGCCCTCCACCAGTCGGAGCCGGATGAACTCGGGGCTGGGTAGGGCCACCTCTGACATGGCTGGCAGCGTCTGGATCTGGCTCTTGAGGTCAGTCAGCTGTGGCATCCTGGGATAGCTCCACATTGCCCAGCGCAGCATGCCGAGATTGATCGGGGCCGAGGGCAGAGCTCTCCCCTTGATTTGACGACTTGCTGGAGATCACAACTGGACCAAGGTGAATGTTCCACAAATTCAGTATAAAGATATCAAATACCCCAGCGTACTTCAAAAAGATACATACTACGGAGTAAGTTTAAAGTGAGAGTTACACCTCAAGGTCACTTGCATTTTACGACAAATGGGTTTACTGACAGCAAAGACGTGATTTCCTCAAGTTCTCTGACCCTGGTTCTTATTACATCTGATTCCAAGGGATTTTCCCGAGAATGTCATTCTTGCGATTTTTGTTCGACCTCCAAAACTGAACATCCCTTCACTGCCTTTTCTCTCTTTAGGATTTATTCAGGCTTTTGAGCTTCGGTCAACTGAGCATATTATTCTGAGATTTCAAAAACGTGGTCTCACTACAGGAAAGAACCAAAAGACCACTCTTCAAGTTTGTACTTAATGCCCAAAATGTCTGTGATGAAAAAATTGCTATCAATGCTCCGTTCGCTTTTTCTCTTAAAGCACTCACTCATGATGTGATTGTTAATCCACTGCAGCATCTCTGCCTGGGGACTGGGGGGAGTGGCCTCTCCCCTGTCAGGGGACGGGTACAGCCAAATGGGCAGGCGGACGAAACCCTTTGGGGGTAGCCGGCCTTCCTCCAAGAGCAAGAAACCACCGTTGGCGATGCCCTCTTGGTCCAGCGTCACATCCTGCCAAAATGACAGACTCTAAATTGCTTGTGCGCATTCCCACATGCCCTGGTGAGCTGAAAATAAGCTCAGGGTCTCTGGGAGGAAGGGAGGGGGGGTGGGGTCTCGCACGTGCACAGAAATCTCTCCTCTGGTTGCCATGGACTCTCACAGTGCTCATTCACACAAATGCACTGAAAATGAGGCCTTTTTATGCATGGAACAGCGCCACCAACGGGTAGTGCAGAGAGAAAGGATAGACAACAGACTTGGGCCGAGGACTTGTCCGTTGAGAGAGCCAAAGGGTGGCGCCGTCATGCATGCACATGATATTAACCCCTTCGCGCCGGGATTCTTTTGACCGTGACTGCTGGGCTGTGGTATGCCCTGAATGGAGGGTTTTGTCCATCAGCAGGCCCCATTGAACCAGCAGCTGCATGGTGAATAGACTGTATGTGTGGTATGCACTAATCCTCACACAAAGCCGCGGCTCTTGCCGTCTCCCGGAGCGACGGGGTTAAATAATTTACATACGCACAAAATTAATTTATAATGAGCAACTTTCCATGATAGGATCTGAGCCATCCTGATACTCTTTGAACAGAGTTTTTCCTCCCTACATTAACAATCTCCGACTTTGTCAATTTTCAGCCAAGTGAGAGTCATCTTTTTCATTTGTTTGTGGTGTGCAGCCAGGGTCCACATCCAAAAATTCTGAGCAACAAAGACAATTCCATTGGTCAAGCACCAGGATTGTATTCTAACAGTCCTGGGTTCACATCCAACAAAGATGCGCTGACTTACTGGGTCCTGCAGAAACTCTGCCGCCTCGCCGCACCAGTTGGCTTTCCTGAGGTGCCACTGGTCCCCTGCCACACCAGCTAAACCCACCATCACCTCCAAAGTCTGAACATGAACAAGCGTAACAAAACGTTCAATTTCAATCTAGAAATTCAAACTCCAAGTTGAGTCAGTCAATCTGAACTCTAAACAAGGAAACATTCTCATTTAAGCTGTGTTTTGGAGGTGACAGTTACAAATACGATAAAGGCAGAACTAATTCGGTTAAAAAAACCTTTTAAAATTCAAGTTCAGTTTCTACGTTAAAGTGGACATCACCTCCTACCTCTTGCACCGTGGAATTCTTGTCAACAGTCACTTCTTGGTGGTTGAGTTGGCCCCCTTCACAGCAAACCGCAAAGCTTACGGTGATCTGTAATCACAATTGTAATGGGTAAATTTTGAAACCTCAACAGTGTCACGACCTAGCCAAATTTCCTGCACGAATAAAGGCCTTCCTTCAACGGTGTTTAGAAATTGGCTCTCTGTCTCTAGAAATCTCTAGTCTGGTATCGTGAGTGTGGCACCACAAACCATCAGAGTGAGACTGGTAGCCTAGCTTTGTGCGTGGCGAAATGTAACAGCTTCTCAGTCCCTAAATTGTCACTGGGTGCTTGTAGTGAACGTTCTTTCTTTCCTGGCTTCTGATTGACTAGGTTATTAAATGTGCATTTAGTCAGAGCGGTGGGTACATGTGAAAATGTTTACACCGAGATAACCCTCTACTAGATTTCTTCACAGAGAGAAGCTGTGCTGACGTGATTTCTGACTCTTTCCAGTGCCGAAGTGTGGCGTCAACTGAACCAGGGAGTGTGGTGCCAACAAATGGAGTACGCGTGTGTGTTGGTTCACGCGCTGGTTCTCGCGCTAATGCATTTTGTACTCATAAATGTGCGAGTGGAATATTTTCGCTTTAGTACTCTGTAGCTAAGAAAGTATGTCTGCATTTATATACCCTGGCTACGGCTCGCAATAACACATGTGGCTATGGAAGCCTCTGGCCTTGCAGCCGCGGCTACTTCCCATAGACATATGTAACAGCTAGCCCCAGCCAATCGATTCAGACGAGGCTGGAGACTCAGCTGGGATGATCCTGATCCTACCTCTTTCTCTCTGGGAGGCTCTCCCGGCTCAAGGATGACCTCTGCTCCAGCCTTGATCCCCGCGTCCGCAATCTTGCAATTCTCCTGCACTGCAAACGCACGCAGAGCAATTCCAGCCATCAAAATTGACAATGGAAAAAAGGCAACAATCGGCTCTGGACAGTTTACTTAAAATAAACGTGCACGTTTACGGGAGTTGAGTGAAATAATTTACAGCTTACATGGCGGCTGAAGGACATCGCCATATGCATTCACCCTGAGGCGACACTGTACTTCAAGCATGTGAGCCTCGGACTGCTTCAGCTGAGAGATGACGACACCCTTCAGCTCGGCTACCGTCTGTAGATGGAACAACAGAAGTAGTTTTTTTTTCCGAGGGCGCAAACGGAAGAGCAGAAAAAGGTAGAGAAACAGAGAAAACATTTTTCAGTATTCACCACGTCCTTGTCGACTTCAACGGGTATCGACGGCCAGTCTGTTCCTTGGGGCACGGAGAGGCAGCGGTTCTCCACAGTCAGACACACCAGTCGGCTCTGACGTAAAGCTTCGTTTTCGGCCAGGGATGACGCTTTCCTGTCAAAGAGAACCAAAAGAAGACACCCATCTTATCTTTTGCATCTTTGTGACTGTAGCATGGAAATGAGCTGAGGTGGTGCCAGGCATAGGTAGATTTCATGCATATTCATAAGCAGCATCAACTCTGTGAATTGATTTTGTAACTTCAATTGTGTCCATCTTCTATGCTTCCAACGTTACATCTTCTCACTCGGTCCTTTAGGTAGAAAACCCGTGTTGGGTTGAGGTTGATTTTAGGGCTAGGATTGATTACAGAACTCTTCAACCACCTGCAAGGGTTAGGGATAAGGTTGGGATTGTGGTTGGATTATATAGGGTTAGGAGCAGGGTAAAAGTTAGGGTCAGGCCAGGGTTAATGATGGAACAAATTTCTCCTACTCAGCCAGTGAGAAGGTTGGGTTTACAGTTGGGGTTTGAGGATTAGGGTAAGAAATGAGGTTCGTTTACAGCTAGGTTCGAGGAAAGATCCCACAGAGGCTAAGGTTACGGGTTGAGGCAGGGTTATGGTCCTTTCCAGGGGTGTGATCCACTCAAGGAGATGGAGACTCTCACCCTCTCCTCTTGAACTCGGCAATGATCCGATCCCCGTCCGTCAGCCCCATCTCCTCCACAGTCTTTCCGTCCTCCTCCTGTCTGATGACTGATGCCGCGGCCGCCTCCGACAGCACCCGGCTGAGCCGCAGCAGGCCCAGGGGGATCTCGGTCTGCGTGCTCAGCAGCGCCCGCAGTTCCCCCACCGTCAGATCCCGGGCCAGGCCCCTGGAGGTCTCCGCCGTCTCCCGGTTGTCCCGGGTCCGGGCGTAGGTCAGGTGGACCAGGACCGGTGCGCAGGCAGGGCCCGTCTTGAGGGGCATGCCGTCCACCTTGTGGCCATCCCACAGGAAGAGGGCAGTGCCGCTGGTGAGTCCCAGATCTTGCAGGATGGCCGAATTGTCATCTGGATGGACAAATCCAAGTAATTCAATTGAAAACTGCGAACAAGTTCAATTAAATTTGGATGAAAGAAAAGCAAAAAGACTTTTTTTCACAGAAAGTTGCAATAATCCTCCCCCTAAAAGTAAAACAGTGACATTAAACTGAAGGTAGCTGGCTGTTTTTCTGTTGCTTAATGAAAATAACACATCTAACTTTTGCCTGTTCTTACAGAACTTTTTAGCAATTGGCCCGTTCTTACAGAACCTGTCAGGGAAGCCTTCACTAACTTTTGATTTTTTGGTTTCACAGCTTGACCTTCCTCACTAATAAACTAAAGCCAGTGACCTTTATGAACGACGACTCACCCGATATGCAGTCGTAGAGGTGCAGACCGGCCGGCAGCTCCTGAGCGGTGTGAAGGTGCAGGCTGTTGACTGACATGCCGTTCAGTGCGGTCTCTCCAAGAACCTGCAAACAAGCCAGGTGAAATGAGATCTGTGAACCAGAAAACTCCACAATCTTGCAACAATTCCAAAATAAACACCGCTTGACTGGTCAAGGCTTGCGATAGCACCGTGTGACCAGCTCTTTTGGGCAGACGTGTGGTTCTGAAAAGAACCAGTGAGTTGAAACTCGACAGCCCGATCGATGTGCTCTGTAGTCTTCAAGAACCTTACTTAAAAAAAGTGTGTGAAAGTTATGAAATTTCACAAAATTTCCTTTCTTTTATAATAAAATGTTACTGTTGTTCAGCCATCCTTCAAGTCCTAGCCTTTCTCCAGCCATTACTGTCTACAGCAAGCTGTCTACTACGGCAAGCAAATGGCAATAACAAAGCCACAGCCGCAAAGTACCCCAGTTGCACAAAGCCTTAGAAGTTTTCGGTTCCAAGGAAGTAAGACTACACATGTTTCGTGGAGGGGGCGTAACCTCCTCAAAAGCCTCTCCCACCGAGTTGAACTCCTCCCCACTTTAAAACCAACTCCAGGCCTACCTTACCTGGATGGTTTCCATCTTGAGGTCAGCCACTGATCGTCTCCTGTCCAGTGTGAGGGTAACCGGCTCCCCGTCGATGCTCAGCTTCCTGTGCAGAGCACTGGCCCTGTATTCGTAGTGATTGCTCTGCAGCAACGCCAGCTCTATAGAGTTGGTGACCCTGTCATATTCTTCCCTAAGCACAACGAGACACAAGGTGACACCTTCTTACAACACACAACAGCAGCAGTTGCGTACATTTTCGCCAGAGCTTATTTTCGCCTGGGCTTATGGTTACGGACATGGACGAGGGTATTATGTAACCTTGTGACATGATGCACTTGGGAATGTGGAAAAGAATTCAACTAATATGCAGTCTTGTGTAAAACCCATCACTGGTGACTGTCTGGTTGAGTCATCCACCCAGCACCGTGTCCTGGGAGCAGAGGACCGATTGCAGTAAAATACCTTTACTCAGGAACACACCGTGCTGCTCTGGCTGGGGTTTGCAACCTTCTTCGATAGACTGCCACAGATATGACAGCAGTGACAAATTTATACTGTGCTTTGCAAAGAGAGCATTATGCATAGGAGGTGAATAAATGAACACGGCCACACCAATGAAGCAGAAACAAAAGAACGCACACACCTCTGTTGAGCCAGCCGTTGGTTAGCCTCCATGACCTCCTTCACCAACCACTCCGGCATGCCATGATGAGGATCCGCTTTGTCTAATCGTGGAAAAGTAACCACAAAAAATGACAGCAACATTAGACAAATGAATGAAAACTTTGCCAAATGTTCTGTTGTAGTCTTCCGACAATGAATTGGTGGGTTTCGTTTTTGATAATTCCTAAGGCCGGGAGGGGCTTTCACGTCTAAAACTGGAAATAGGCAGCTTTTACCTTTTTTGCGTCTGGTCATGGATTTGCGTCTGTACAACAGCATGTAGGCGCTTTCCCGGCCGGAGAATTGTCTCGGAAGCTCCGATTTGTCGTCGATGGAGAAGACCCTGGAATCGTTGAAGTCGAACCAGCGAGCTCTGTCTGGGGCTGCACGCTGGTTGGCCTGACAGAAGCAGGGGGAATTTGACGGTGGTTCTGCCAATTTGTCTTGGACGAGTCCCTCTTCAGAGTTTCTGCTTCTGCAGTCTCTGCATGGACCACTGGTACTTTTCTGACTCTCAGCTGTCCTGAGTTCGGCGACCTGGTTGGGTTTATCTTGCTTTGTGCCCTTCTCTTTTTCGGGTTCCGAATCTTGAATCATTCTTGGAGAATTTTTGGGGGTGGCATTTTTGGGAGTTTGTTCGGTTCTTCCTCGGACTTGGCTTCCCTTGCTCGGGGCAGCAGAGGGCGGCGCATCACCGCTTCCGTCCACAGCTCCGCAAGCTGGTTCATCACCGCCTGCGCCCCCACTTACGGATGTGCATCCGTCATCGTCTCTCCTCCCGTAGGGGGGCAGAGACTCGCTTGCCGGGAGGTGTGGCCAGTGGGCAACCGTCTCACAGACGTTGCTTTGTTTGGAGGAAGTGAGACAAGGGTCACTTTTGGATATTGTCCGGTCGGAGAGGCTAAGCTGACTGACTGCCGCAGCAACGGGAAGATTCTGCAGGGATGGCTTGAGACACACCGAGTTTGTGCGGGCGTCAAAGCTGAATAACTCCTCACAGGATTTCACAAACTGAAACAAAAAAAAGAACCAGCCAGCACATGTTAACGGGTCGTATGAATAAAAACTAGCAAATGCTGTGAAGTCCAAGCAAACACCAAACGCATTTACTGATAAGTCAAACCATTAAGAATAAGCAATTGCTTGAATTTGTAGGAATAAAATGTTTCTTTTACTATTTGGCATCTATTAGTATAAATATTATCAAATGCTTTTATGCTTGTGGCTGACTTCACAGCCGAACAGTTTTGCACAATAGGGCTTCCATTGTCTGCATGTACAGACACGCACAGAGCAGCACGGTGCCGTATCTTGAGACCTCAGCATGGCAGATAAGCACGATGGCAGTAATTTGGATCGCAAACACCTTGATGAAGAAATTTGCTCTGCCACTCTCAAATCGGTACGGCTGCCTGCATCTGGTTTCTTGAGATTCCCTCCTAAAGGCATACAGCTTTTCCTTTCGAATGACATTCATGAACGCTGCCATTTTGAACTTTAGTAAATGCTCCTCGTTTTCAAGCTTGCCCTGACCCAGTCTTGAAAAATGTCAAGTAAATACTCCAATTTCGTAGAACTTACTCATTTTATTCATAAAAAATGAAGCAACAGCTTATTGTCAAGCACAAGCTTAAAGAGTAAAAAGTAAATACTTTTACTTTTTAACAACTGCACTAAAGTAAAATCATTGGCTTCGTTATTATTTATACAAACACAGGTGAATGCTTCAAAAATGGTAGTGAAACAGTCCTGAAAACAACCCCAAGCTAAACTTCAGGGCTGCATTTATCTTCAGGTAAACACCCCAGCATGCACCTTCATCGTCACAAGAAATCTTAGTCTTTCAAAACTGAGCTCTTGTGCTCTGCACTGTCACATGTGAATTGAGAAAAATCAGATCTTAAAAACAATCACAGAGATAGCTCAGATGTGCCTTTCTGCTTTTTTCTTTTGCTGTTATATTGTTCATTTTTTTAAATAGTGTGGTGAGCAATTTCTTCACAGAAAACAAATGCAAATTAATTAAGCCCTTTCTTTTTATATCAAATGCACAAATAACAGGTCCAGGCCAAACGAAGAGGGATTCCCAAAAAGTGCACAGTCTGGAGGTGCATCAACTCACCTTGGTCACAGAACCAAACCTTCTCTTAAACCTCTTATTCCACGACACACCAGTCTCTTCACTGAGGGCCTGCAAAGATGAGAAATGAAAAACACGAGTGCATGACCTTTCTGAGGGATATGACAGTGGCAATGGGAAAGGCGAAATAAACTCGGTTAGGGTCATTCGAGAATGGAGTTTGAGACTGAGTTCTTCACCTGGCAGAGCTTATCGATTGGCATCTTGCAGCCTGAGCCGCCGCGTTTCCTTAGCAGGGCGGCCAGCAGCTCTTGGGGAGAGCTCAGCTCGATCAGGTCCACTTTGGCCTCCGGCGTCGGCAAGGGCTTGCTCGGAAGCCGGATTATCTCTTTCTCCTGGGAGGGGTGTGGAGAAAAGGGGGCCGTTAAGAGAAGAAAAAAGGTAGCAATTTCAATCAGGGGGGAAAAACAGATGAGACTAACCCGTGAACTAAACTGAACTCTGTATAAGTATCCTGTTTAAATATTCCAGTAAATCTACAAACAAGAACAAGAATCCAAAGTGGAAACCAAACATGACTCCGAGCCAGAATGAGACTTGGACCTGGAAGAATGACCAAACTCCAGAACAGGACTCTCTCGCAGGAATCATAATTGGATCTACATCAGATTAGCACCAAGATCTGCAGGTCAGCGCTCTTCATTAGAGTCAGAAAGGAAACCCGCATACCGGAGTTGTCCAGGTGCCAAGTCCGTCGATGTCCTTGATGTAAGCGTGGTAGTGCCCTCCGTGTGTACTACCGCTGTGTATCAGCACCGAAAACAGCTCGTACACGGCATCGTCGCTCGCTTCCGTCTGTATAAAGCACAAGAGACAGAGTGAGGCTCATGGTTCAGAGAGCAGTGCGACGAACCATTGACAGGATTTTCAAAAGGGTCAATTCCCTCACCTTTTCCGTGTAGGGGGACATGTCCATTTCCTCCGGGAAGATGTACTTTCCGATCTCTTTGTAGCGCTCACACTTCTGGTAGTTGAAGCTGAACCGCAGGAGGGAGACGGTCAGGATGGGGGGTAGCAATCGGAGCTTGGCACTCTGTGAGGACGAAATGACCGGAGAATGTTGCCACTGCTCTCCTAGATGTGGAAATGGGGAGCTACTATCTTTGGCAGAGTTGTAGTTTAGTGGTGTGCGACTGGTCTCCTGAAAGGAAGTCCTTGCAACGCTCTCGATTACAACTCTGGTCTTTGGCCAGCGGAAATTTTGACCAGCTAAAGCGGCAAGTGTTTCCAAATTCTCATTCAGTATTACAGTGATCAACATGTATTAAACTTAGCCAAGAAAAAAGCAAGGTCCAAACTCATGTCTATTTTTCTAAACCGGTGTTCTCCTTCAAGCTAAGCACACAATGCCTCTCCACTTAGCACTTTGTCTACATAAAGCTGCTCTGTGATACATGTATATTGTCTCCTTGATTTCCAGTTAAATAGTATGTTCTCAGGAATGCCTTTGATACCCTTGGTCCTTAATGTCCTCACTCATGTTATAATGTCCTCGGTCTGCCATGTCCTCAGCCCTCACCTTGACGGCATCCACCAGCTTGTTGCAACTGCTGCAGTGGTACTGGTTACGACCTTCCATTCTCTCCACGTCCACATAGCATGTCTTGAGGGTGTCCTCCATGCCTGAGTAGTGGGCCACGGCCAGGGTTAGGTCGAGAAAATCTTCCTAAATAATGGAGGGAGGGGGACATAAAAACATCAGTAAGCTTGACGGGTCTGTGCCAAGTCCTATCTCGGTCAAAGACTCGAGGCAGACTAGGCATTCTGGGTGTGGATGGAATCCAGAACGAGGTCGACGGGGCAACACAGAAGGGAGGAGTACATTAGGGCAAACAGCAACCACTCCAAGTCAAGAGGTTCTGAGGATGTTCAACGTCCTCGCACACGAGGTCACGTCCCCACTTCAGATCCATGTCCCAAGCACAGGCACTGAATCGCTTCAAACTCCGGCTTTGGATAGGTGGTAGATCAAACTAGAAAAAACCCTGCATCTGCACCAAGTTTTCTAATGAAAACAGCAGCTTCCTTCAAACGGTACCCAGAATACACGACAAAGAATTCATACCTCTCTTTCACTGACTGTCCCACATACTTCACAGGTAATCTGAGGAAGAAATTGACCAAAATGATTAATAATATTTAGTTATATCTCTGGCAATCACGAAAGAGCAAGCAACAAAACCACCCATCTAAACCACTTGTTATGGGAATACGTCCGATGATTAACATTTTAGATGGGCAACATTGTAGAGTGTCATTTGTAGATACTTCACCAATAATATTCCTAATAAACAGTTAATGTGCTTATGAACAAACAAGACAAGAGGGCCATGTCTGAATTACTTGGCTGTGGCTAGCAATGACACAGAAGTCTATGACAAATAGCAGCGGCCGCTGAGCTTGTGGCGTCCATAGGCTATGTTTTTTTTTAGCGATAGCCAAAGAACTTGGACACAGTCTGACCTTCACTCACAGTGACTGTTAAGCTGCATGGCGCCCTCGTCAGTGCATGCGCAGGAGTCAATAACGCCAGCGGTAATGGGCTCACCTTGTTTACACTGATGCCGTGGTACAGACGCGAGATTAAGTTTTGGCCCGAGGTGCCGATGAGAGAATCTTCAACTGCGCTGAAGAGAATCCTGTTCAATTCCTGTACGTCGTGCTGCTGAAATTCCTGGACAAAAAAAGGACAACAGCATCAATAAAAATGAAAAATGAACAGTTTTAAGCCATGAAATTCTTCCATTTCAAAATCACCCCATTAAAAATATTACTATTTTGCACATTTTTAATTTTTATTTTAACAGAATTTTCTCTGTTAATTATAATAATCTAATCTTCGGTGCATTACTAAAACAGCAAAACTAACACATTACAGTTTTAGATAGATCAGAAAAATGATACCAAATTTTTCACTCATATCCTTGGATACCCCTAGTACAAAAGAATCACCCTTTCTTTTCACAATTTGGATTTTACAAGCTTTAACGAGGGCGCTGCACTGTGTCATCATGAGCTATCTTTCCTGATACATCTACAAAGAGAGGAGGAAACCAGTTGCTTCCAGACCTCGTTGTTCTGCCAGCCAAAGCTGTCCGTCAGCTCCTCGGTGGACGCACTCTGCTGGTCCAGCAGCAGCAAGCGGCCAAACAACCTCTGCAGCTGGATCGGAATGACCCGCACCTGGTGTTAAAGACAAACCGCCCCTGTGACCGTTAATTTCACTGTGCTTGACAAAGAGCCGGCTGGGCGAGTATGCTCAAGACATTGAAATGTTCCTTTCGAATATTGTATTTGACCTCATCTTGCAATGCTTACTGATACCTTTGCTCCTGGCTTATTCTGATCTGCCAAAACTCCCAGTTCTGACGGCCCGAGTGCAAACAGAGACTCTGAAATCAAAAAATTTCACCAAATTACGGGAACATTTGACATTTTTTTCTCAAAGCCAGTACATATGTACGGTCTGACTGTACACGGGCTGTACGGTACATTCACATGGACAAATCCAACCTCAACATCCCTTTGGAGTGGAAGGAGGGAGTGGACGGTCTTTTGCAATATTGGGACAGATTAGGACCAGTCGTCAATCAGTACCGGTATGTGTGTATGACAACAAGATTTCACGTAAAGTTCATTTCAATTTGAAAGTCCCTTATTATTTGTTATGTAAATCCTATGCAAGAAACACCTCTTTCTATCGTGTCCACGTCTAACTGTCTAGTTGCCAGGTCCCTACTTTTGCCACTAATTGTCAAGTATGATTGGTTTTCAGAGTAAGTGGTGAAATAAGGGACCTGATGCCTCTACGGTCACTGATATTTTGATGGGATTGGCATGACTGGGAGAGGTGGACAGATATGAGCCCCAATATGTCAACATCATGGTTAAATGGTCAAACTTTCAAAGGGCCACAGGACATGAAGGATTAGGTACAAACCATTACCACAATTACAAATTACCTCTAAATTCAGGTGTCAACAACAGCGTTTGTAGGAGGGCGTTCATGTAGCAGGTTGCACCTCGGTTGTCTATTCCGGCCAGACCGCACTTCAAGCGGGGCGCAGGTGGACATGGAAGCGACGTACTGCCGGATTTCACGGCGGGGGATTTCCCCTTGCCCTCTGTGGATGTAGTGGTGCTGTCGCCACTCTCTTCGAACAGGTCGCCAAACATGGCTTCCAAGCTCGCAGCAGCCCTTCTTTAAAAAGTACCAAACAATTACACAAAGTCAGCCAAATATAAGTCAAACTTATGCCGATGTTTCGACAGCAAACCACGGACAAATACTTGATTTCTTCCCAGAAAGTTGCAGTTGCACAATTCCCCGCAAGAAAGAGGCCATGTTTTGATGGTGTGTAGTTGTAGCGCCCTCAAGTGATTTACGCTTTAACTACGAAGTTTCCATCAAAAAGTGGTACAAGTGACTTACAGTGGAAATTTGTACACGTACAAAGTGCAATGCATGATAGTCAACTGTGCTGATGAAAGAGAAAAAAATCATTCAGCGACAATAAATATGAACATAACCCTTAAACACGCACTCACATTTTAAGATATGATCGGAGTAGAATAAATTTAAGCCTTTATGATCGCGTATCCTTTGTTTGCCCATGGTTTGCCCCAATAGGAAGCTGATTTTACAAATGGTTG